TTAGATGGATTTGTAAGTGGTTGCATGGCAAGACCCAAAGAATAGTCATTCGTAAGTTCATGCAGTCAATAAACTTTAAGTGCCTGCTGTGTGCCAGGATTGTGTTAAATGCTAGGGATACAAAAAGAGGCAAAAGACAGTCCCTGCCCTCCAGAAGCTCACAATCTAATGGAGCAGACAAGCAAACAAATACGTAAAAACAAGCTACATATAGGATAAATAGGAAATGAGAGGGAAGGCACTAAAATTAAAAGGGGTTTGGAAAGGTTTCCTGTAGAAGGTGAGATTTTAATTGAGACTTAAAGGAAGCCTGGAAAGTCAGTAGTTGGAACAGAGGAGAGCATTGCAGGCAAGGGGGACAACTAATGAAAAACCCTGAGCCCAAGAGATGGATTGTCTTGTTTGTGATACCACCAGGAGGCCAGTGTCACTGGACTGAAGAGTATGTTGTGAAGAGTAAGGTGTAAGAAGGGAAAGGTCGGAAGGGGCTGGGTTATTAAGGGCTTTGAATGCCAAAAGGAGGATTTCATATTTGATCCTAAAGGTGATAGAGTCACTAGAGTTTACTGAGGGGGAGTGTGAGTCAGACCTACACTTTAGGAAAATCACTTGACAGCTGAAAGGAGGATGGATTGCAGTAGGGAGAGACTTGTTCAGGCAGACCCATCAGCAGGCTATTGAAGTAGTCCAGCTGTGAAGTGATAAAGGCCTGCACCAAGGTGGTGGCAGTCTCAGAGAAGAGAAGGGGTCTATTTGAGAGATGTTGCAAAGGTGAAATCAGCAGGCCTTGGTAAAAGATTGGATTATGAGGGGTGAGAGATGGTGAGGGGTTGAGGATAATACCTAGGCTGTGAGTCTGAGACACTAGGAGGATGGAGTTGTCCTACAGTAATAAGGAAGTTTGGAGAGGTGGGAGTGTTTAGGGGGAAGAATAAATGAGTTCAGTTTTGGATATATTGAGATGTTTACTGGACATCTACTTTGAAATGTCTGAAAGGCAGTTGGAGATGTGAAAGTGGTTAGCAGAGAAGGTAGGATAGGTTAGAAAATGTCAGCACAGAGATGAGAGCTGATGATATCACCAAGTGAAACCACATAGAGGAAGAAAAGAGCCTAGGACAGAGCCCCATGGGACATGGTCAGCATGCTTGACCTAGATAAGGATACAGCAAAGGAGACTAGGGAGTGGTCTGATAGGTAGGAGAAATAGGAGAGGGCAGTGTTCTGAAAACATAAAGAGAAAAGAGCGTTAAGAAGAGGGTGATCCACAGTGTCAAAGGATTGCAGAGAGATCAAGGAGAATGAGGATTGAGAAAAAGCCATTGGATTAGGCAACTAAGAGAATACTGGCGACTTTGGAGAGAGTAGTTCTGGTGGAATGATGAAGTCAATCCAGATTGTAAGGAGTTTGAAGAGTGTGAGAGGAGAGGCACCTATTGTAGATGGTCTCAAGGAATTTAGCCACAATAGGCAGAAGAGATATAGTGGGGATGAAAGGTTTTTGAGGAAGAGGAGACATGGACATGTTTATAGGTGGTAAGGAAGGACCCAGTAGACAAGGAGAAACTGAAGATAAGTGATAAGAGTGGGGATGAAAGAGGGGCATTCTGTTGGAGGAGATGGTATGGAATGAGATCACTAGTGCAGGTAGAGGGGTTTGTGTGGTAAGGAGTAAGGTGACCACTTCATGTGAGATGGGGGTGAAGGGAGAGATGCTGGCAGAAAGCATATGGGTGATAGGAGATGAAGAAGAGAGTAGAAAAGGGAAATCATGGGAAGTGGCCTCAGTTTCTTTTTCCGTAAAATGAAGCAGAGTTCTCAGCTGAAAGGGTCAGGGTAGGGGGATCTAGAAGAGGTTGGAGGAAGGATGGTTTGGAAGAGCCACAGTGGAGAGTGGGATATTGAGTTCATAAGGGAGGTGGAGAAGGAATGCCCACTAGTAGTGAAGACCCAGTTGAGGTTGTGTAACATAATTTGTAATGGACCTAGTTAGAATGGTTGTGTGATTTTCTCCACCTTTGTTCAGCAGTACATGTATAAACAAAGGCGGTAGATGGTGGGAGTGATTTAAAGCTGAGTCTTGATAGGGAACAATCAGTAATATTATAATGGTCCAGGGACTGAACAGAAGAGGACAGTGTGGAGTTGAAATGGTTCATCAAGAGGTCAAGATAGGGAAAAGAGGAGAGAGTGGCTAGTGCAGCAGTGATTGCCTGGGAAAGAACTGGAGGGGTGAAAGGATTGGAGTTCATGGTGTGGACAAAGAGTAGGGTTTAGTAAGAGAAGGCTGAAAGAGAGGTGGAAAACCTATAGAATACGGCCAAATAAGGGGATTCAGAATTCTTGAACATGGACATAGTACATTTGTGAATGATGGCAAGACCAAGAATATGACTTTCTTTTTGTGTGGCTGAGGTGAGGTGGAAGAGTAGATCATAGGAATTGAATAGATCGAAGAACTGACTGGTTAGGTATTGGAAAGAGAGTCCCCAAGTAGGGGGAGAACTCCCCTGTTTCAAAAGGGGAGGGGAATGAGTGAAAATGCAGCCACTACTGGAAAGGGTGTCATGGGGGTTAGGGAACAGGGACTGGATCTTGCTGATTGCTAGAAGATGGAAGGAGTGAAAGAGGAAAAGATTTAGGATGGAAGGAAAGGATGTTTGTTTGTGGAACAGGCACCCTAGAGGGTACAATGGAAAGGGTGGGAGGTTTGAGAGCGATGGGAATAAGAATTGTTGTGGGGGGCATGGTAATGGGTTTGGGTGATAACCTATAGGGTTTCAGAATCATTTGGGATTTCAGTCAATAAGAATTTATTAAGCACTTACTTTGCTTATCATGTGTGAGGCATTAGAGATACAAAGAAAGGTAGTCATCAATTGTTCATAAAGATCTTTAGTGGAGTGTTCTAGGATCTGTAGGACTATTCAGCTCTGCTACTAAACATCCTTATCAATGATCAGAGAGGAAGCTGTGCTTAACTGGTCAAGAGTGCTGGACTCAGAGCCAGGAAGATCTTGTTTCAAGTCTTGCCTCTGATATATACTGGAGATATGACCCTGGGTAAGTCACTTAATCCTTCTAGGCAGCTAAGACTATAAATTGCATAGAAGGTACTAATGTGCATTAATAGGGGGAATCTCCTTTCCTGGGAGTTCTCTATACCAATGAAACTAAAGGTACACTTCTTATGAATAGCTTAAAGGCATTCTCAGATGACAGCTAACTGGGAGAGATACCTAACCCTGGATGACAGGATCCAAAAAAAATTATGATAGGCCAGAACAGTAGGCCAAACTGGGTAACATGATTAGAGGTAGGAGCGGCATTTAGGACCTGTAATTTCACATACTATGTGACACTGACTCTCCAAGGTAAACCCGAAGGACAAACATAAAGTGATGTACGTGTAGGTCCCAAAAAATGGATCTCATAAGAGAAGTTGATTTGAAAAAAATCTGGAGGTTTTGGTGGGCCACGAATTCAATGAGTCATTGTTAATACTGCAGTCAAAAGAGTCAATTTTATCTTAGCACGCATTGAGATGCACAACTTTCAGGAATGAGATGATAGTCCTACCCTAGGTTCTGCCCTAGTGTTACTGTGTTTAATTCTGGGCACATCTTAGGAAAGGCAGAACATTCAGAGTTTGTCTTTTGTGTTGAAAAGGACCGGTGACATCACAGTGACATCCTGTGTGAATTGGATTTAAGTAAGGCAGAGCTGCACGAAGTTGTCAGCCTCACTCTCTTCCAGAGTCATTGAAGTCCAGTGGCAGGACAGAAGTCAAGATGACTGATGATGGCCCGGGATGCAGTGGATGACCTTGATATCTTTGAAGTCTGACCAAGCTCTAAGAGCTCCACAGCTTCAGCTGCCTTCATGGCTGTTGGAAAAAACCGTTCTCATCCACCTATTCTGCCAGGGGGTCTTCACATGCTTGGGGTAGACATCCCCCAACTCACCCATAGGTTTGAGGCTGGTAGGTTACCATCAACCTGGTTCACCCCATCTGCAGGGATGGTTTTACCAGGGTGTGGCTGCTATGTATGCTGCAGCTTCTTGCAGCCAGAGGTGAGAGCTGAGTGACAAGTAGACACCAAAGTGGAAGAGTGGCTCTGAAAAGGACTCAGTAAACCTTCACACCAGAGCTGCTGGTCCTCCATGAACACCCTATAGACCCCACATCCAGAGTAGAGCAACCACATACAAACTGAAGGAACTGGGGATTTTTTTAGCCTGAAAAAGACGGGTATATTTATGTGACCCAATGCTGAAGAGTTTAGAGTTGATCTTACTTACTCAAGAGGGAAGAATTAGAAGTAAATGGTGGGAGTTCGAGGCAAATTTAGGCTTGATGTAAGGGAGAACTTACTATTACAGTTATCCTCAAGTAGAATGATTTACTTTGGGAGGTACTGGGTTGCTCTCCTTGGAGGTCTTCCAACAACTCTAGGCAGCTTACTGGGTATGTTGTAGCAGGGGTTCTTTTTTGTGTATGGATTGGACTACATGACTGCCTAGTTCCCGTCTAATCCTGAAATCCAGTGAAAAGTAAATGTTCACAAAGTATGAAGGAAGATGAAACTAGGCTTGGTGGCTAGTTTGGATATGAAAGAGGAAGTAGTTAAGGACAGTTAAAAGTTTCAAGAGTTGAAGCCTGCTACAGTATTATAGACAGCTGGATACTAGATGTGGGTGGAGGACCTTTGGAGAAACGTAAGTTTCAGATGATAGGATATCCAGGTGGGAATGCCTAGAAGACGTAAAAATCAGACGGTGGACCCTAGAAGATATAAATGTGGCACTGGTTCAGTAGAGGTGATAGCTCAAGCTACCATGAGTGTTCATAAAAGAAATCATGAGAATGCTACACTGCATCATGACTTGGAAGTAGGTAGATGGTAATTATGTATTAGTTTTCATATTAATCAAGTTTTTTCAAGCTGTAGTTGACTGGACCACTTTTTTCCTCTACAAGCTTCAAGGAATTATGAAGATATTCTGTAACCATTTATTTCACTTATAATATATATTTGAAGACCACCACACTGTCAATATAAACTGAAGCTAACACTTCAGAAAACCTAGGCTTGCAAAATGAGAATGAACATGGGAATACTTTTTGCATAGTGAAATGATTGTTCATTAAATATGACAATTTTGAAAACTTGGAAAAGAACAATGCATTGAAAGAAAATATGTCAAGTCCAAGTACCTAGATAGTCTTTTTTGAAATGTCAAAAGCTACCACTGGATTTTCTCTGAAATTCACTGAATGTATATATATGTAAAACCTATTTAGCTGATTTTATGAGAGAGCGACATAGTAGATGGAGCACAGGGTTCAAGTTTGGCCACTGACACATTCTGGCTATGTAACCCCACACAAGTCATTTAATGCCTCAGTGCCAAAGGCAATTCTCTAAAAAGTGCAGATGTACATCTGCATAGAGGGAGTTTTCCCACCAAAAGTTTCCTCCACCAGTGAAATCACAAGTCTGGCCCCTTTCTTATCCCTATCTCTGGCCCCCTCACCCCTTTGTCTCACTTCTTTTAAAGCAAGCTGTAATATTGGGGGTTTAAAAAAATGCTGATGGGAAAATATCTCAATAACCTTTGAGAAAGAGGGGAGAGGCTTACAGTTTTGGAACAACCTGTGACATTACTTAAGTCTTAAAGTTAACGGTTCTAAAAAGCTCTGTCATGAGTAAAATGCTGATTTTACTAATATTCTTTCAGAAGTGACCCAACCATTTAAAAGGATAAAATAAGACCAGAAAAGCATATTCCAACCCTTTTTGCCCAAAATACTCTTCAAATGATAGAGGGAATAGAAAAATTAAAAAAAAACCCTTCAAATTTTTAAACCTATTTTTAGTCTTTTTACAATGCTTTTTATATAATGCTTAACACTGAAAATGAAAAATCACTTCATAAGACTACATATTTTACTTTTAAAAGGCAGATCACAACCAGATTAATGTGTTTATGCAATGTGTGAGGCTATGAGATCATTCACCTGTTGATCTCTTACATGTCTAAGAAGTCTGGTGTCTGATGGATTACATTATGATAATAATAATAATAATAATAATGATAAAAGCCTCAAATGCATAAGAAAAATTTGCTGCACACCAGTCCCTCTCCCTTTCACTTGTAAAATGTTTGTCTTTTCTACCTTTGGCACACAGACAGACATCTGACCGATCAGTTGGTTGGTGGGACTGCCTGAGCAACGCCAATACTTTTAGCTATTTAATTGTGAGATACAATGTAGATTCAGAAGAAACACTTGTAAGCTCAAGGTCATGGTAATGCTTAGAAGCTTCTGGCTCCCTCTACCTGCCCTATAAAAAGTTTATTTACCATAAACATGGTGAATAGGCTCAAGTGGTAATGTGCAATTGAAAGTATTTCAAAACTGCTGTGAGAAATGTACACAACAGTCAGCTGTGAAACTCGTCCAAGTTATTTAACCAGAGGGGTGACATCAACCACAAAATCTGCATCACATGAAACATCTGTAAAATTCTGAAACTGCCTCCTTTAGAATAAGAACGTTTCAAAGCATAGCTCTCCAAACCAACATAGAAACCAATCAGAAATTGCTGAGGTTTCTATATAAAAATATGACTGTTTTATATTTGTTACATCATGAGAATTAAATCACAGAACAGGAGCTCTTCAGTCCTCTGTCAGGACATCTGGGAACAAGCTCTCGTCACTGGATTTATCATTCCCCATTAGCTCGTCAGCTCTGCCATCCACTGACATAGGAATGCAGTCTGTTCTTGTATCAGCTGTTGACTGTACGTGGCCCTCTGACTGTCCTCCAGCATAGGTGGGCGTGCTGTACTTCATAAGGATAGCTTTGAATTGGCTCAGTGGTGCATCTGTACGGACTCCCATGGGATCAAAATGGGTGCGGCTCACCCGGAAGCCTGCTTGGGAGAGATACTGCAGAAACTTATTTAACCTGCCAAATAGAAAACAAAAATGACAGATACTTCCCTTTCCATTCAAATCAGATGGCTTTCAAAACCAACCACCAAGATCCCCTTCAGCATCACGAGCCCTCTTACTTTGGCATATTCATTCCCTTGATACTGTGTCTATGGATGTTGTAGTAGAAGGAAGGATGTTCAGCATTGGCTTCAGCCTTTTGTTTCTTTGTAGCATTTCTGCATATTTCATTACTTTTCCTCTTTCCTGAAATGGAGAAACAATGGTCTACTTTCCTTAAAGACATGAAAAGCATGTTCATCAAAGATCTTGGAAAAGCATGGCACAGTATCTTAAATAATAGATATGTTTTTGCTGTGCCAATTAAGCCTTTGTTTTAAAATTGCCCTCTTCTCATTCCTTAAATGTCATCTAAGAAAAAATTAATCCAATAACTTTAGGAGATACTAGTAATATACTATGGTATTTTTACATAAAATTGCTTGGACTCAAGAGACACAAGACCTGACTTAATGCTGGATATTGTAATTTAACTCCTTATGCTATCTGAGCAAATCACCTAAGTTCTAGTCCTCAGTTTCCTCATAAGCAAAATGGGGATGATACCTACCTTTCCTCACAGGGCCAAAGTTGTGAACAAATGAAATAATATAAAATTCTCTGGAGATTAATTACTATTATGCCATTTGCTACTGACTTTTTCATGTCTCTCTTTCCAACTACATTTTAAACTCCTTAAAGCTAGGTATGCTATCTCACATATTTTATCTTTCACAGTACAGCATAATAAATAGAATGATGTCAATAAAACTTATTTGGTGATAGATTCACCAAAAACCACAATTCACAAAAATATCCAGGGGTTGGAATAAGTAAGTAAAAAATGCATGGGGGCAGCTAGGTGGCGCAGTGGATAGAGTACTGGCCTGAGTCAGGAGGACCTGAGTTCAAATCTGGCCTCAGACACTTGAGACATACTAGCTGTGTGACCCTGGGCAAGTCATTTAACCCCACTGCCTAGCCACCCCCCCCCCAAAAAAAGCTTCCACTATGATGAACTAAATTGAGATATATTACTACTAAATACAATGCCTAAAGCTGGATGCAGAGGACAGATGATGAAATAACCTCCTTCTGAATATTCACTGCTTGTGGCTGGGCTGTGGCAACATTAAAAAGATGAAAATACTTCCAAGGGTAATTTACAGATTTAGTGCTATACCAATTAAACTACCTAGAAGATACTTTAAAGAGCTAGACAAAATAACAAAATTCAGTTGGAGAAACAAAAGATCTAGAATATTAAGGGAAATGATTGAAAAATGTGGACATGAAGGGGAAAAGCACTTCCAGACCTTAAACTATCTCGTAAAACAGTTATCATCAAAACCATTTGGTAATGGATAAAACATCCCAAGCTGCTTTGATATCACTACACACACACACACACACACACACAGACACACACACACACACAGACCCCCCCCCCCCCCACTTCCTTCCTCTCTGCACGGGAAATAGAAGAGTTGGGACATAAACCTAGATCTCTCTTTTCCTAGTTTACTACTATTTCAGGAAAAAAATGAACACTTTTCTCTGTGCTTTTTGGGAGTGTATATCCAAAAAACATTTTAAAGTCTGAGGTTTTATATAATGAAAAGCTACATATGGTTCATTAAAAACAGAAATCTGGCAAAATAATTAAATCTAAATACTCCAAAGAATTTGCATTGCTTAGAATAAACATGTACATGTAACTCAATTAATTAGCACACAGGTATACTAAAAACTCTCAAGGCTGAGGAATATGGTATTTTGATTAATCAAATGCTCATATTAGAGAGTTCTCATAGCATATATAGATTACTTATATTTAAATAACTAGAATATAATCACAAACATAGCTGATACCTTGTCAAATAAAATTAAATCTTTCTTTGATTTGAAAGGCATTTTTGTCTCTTTTAATACTTCCAAATGTCACTAGACTAGATAAGCATATAATTGCTAGTAAGGTATTTTCAATGAATATGATGCCACAAAAATAAGCCTTTTCTCTATTTTTTGATAAATAAAATACATACCATGTACAACATAATAATCTGTTCCAGTATCTGGAGTTTTAATAACTACACCACATTCCTCTAAAAGATAAAGAGCAAATGGGAATAAAATATTTTATAAGTGACGACAAAAATTAGATTAAGTATGAAATCACTGATGCTGCCCCCCCGCCTTCCCCCTTGATTTTTATCTGAATTACCTTTGAATTTATAGGCGGAGGAAAAGGTGGGGATAATAGTTCCAGCTCTTAATCAAGGGCTAGTCAGATTATACCATGAATACATTTATAGAAGAAAGTAGCAAAAAAGGATGTACAACTTTTTAGAGTTACTTGGATAATACGCAAAAAGTCCTATAGAAATTTGTGGTCAGACTACTCTTAGGACGACCCTCAACAGTACTTTTTCTACAGGTCAGAAAAAGGGGTTAATTAAATAACAAAGAACCTTTGGCTTCTATGTTGAGACAATCCACCAAACTAAAGCTATATGAACACAAATTATATGATGAATATATTGATCTTAAACCAACAACTGTGACTTGAAACAAATAAGAGGGATTTAGTTCTACATTTTTTAAAAGAATTTTTGCGGCATAGGTATTAACTGTTCTTCAAAAATATAACAGAACATACATAATGTTAACATGTGGTTTTCTAAATCAATGTGCAGGCCTGAAGGTTAGTGGCCCTGTTTCTGTATGAGTTTGACACACCACTGCTGTAGACAATCATCCACTTCCTTTGAATTCTCAGATTTGCTAGTGTATAAGTATATGTAGTAGTTTCTGATAATTTTTTAAATTTCCCCTCTGTTCATTCTGAAAAGGGAACCTTAGTTGAAAGATTAATAGCTCTATTGCATCATTTTTTAATTATAAAATTAATGCAGATTCCAATAAAGATGAAATATTTTTGGTGAGTGCGATGTCATTTCCTTAGTCACCTTGCTTATTGAGACTTGTAGGTGCATGAATTGAAAACTGTTTTAGGGTGGTGCACTCTGCCTCACAGATTAAAGTCTTTATTAAGGGCTGAATGTCGTCTAAACCATGCTGAACCGCTTCAAACAGCATTCTTCGGAGGAATCCAGTATTAAAGAGGGAACCTGACCTGGACAAATAAAGAAAATAAAATGAACACTGAGCCTGAAAAATGCATATAGTCTTTAAAGGAAAAGAGCTATATTATTTAACCATCGACTGATCTATGTAATTATGTCATACTGGGAGGGCTAATATTCAACAGACAATTTATGATTCATTTTTTGCTTGATATTAATCTGGGCTAGTTTTTTATAATCTCAGTTCAACTGCTTAATAATAAACCCAGTGGAATTAGGTGAGAAAAAGAAGTCCGTGTTTCTACTATGTGTAAGGTATCCTTCTTTTTGGTACTTGAGAAAGAGACAAAGAAATATAAGACACAGTTTTTGCCTCTAGAACTCAGACTAAACAAAAGGATACTATAGGATATACATGAAATATACAGGATTGTATATGTGTATACATACACACACACACAAAAGGATACTATATATGATATACATGAAAACATGACTAAACCATACATGACAATAAATGTCACGCAAGTAATGTGGAACTTGAAGGAAGGAATTACTGTTGGGTGTCAGTCCTAAAAAGTTAAATAATTAAAAGCAAAAAAACTACCTATGCTTGAAAAAATAAATTTCAGATGCTTAATATAGTGGAGTATTGAATGGTTACACAAGAGTTCATGTGAAAAAGTTGTGTGTGTGTGTGTGTGCGCGCGTGTGTGTTTAATGGATTATAAACTCAATTGAGACAAAAGAATAACATGGCAGCCACAAAAACTAATGTGATTTTAGGCTACACTGATAAGGCAGAATATTCAAAACAATTTGGGTTGCTGCCCCATTGTACTTCGCTCCAATAAGACCAAATCTGGAGTATTTTGTTCTGTTGTGGGCACTATGTTTTAGGAATGATGTTGACAAGTGAAAATAGGGTGATTAACATGGTAAGGGGCCTCAAAACCATGCCATACAAGGATTTTCTGAAAGGAGTATAAGATCATATGGAGTCAGAAGGGAATTTAGGTTATCTAATACAACTTGCTTAATTCACAGATGACAAAAATGTGGCACACAGTGCCAAGGTGACTTGCTTAAGATCAGATGGGTAATTAGCAAAAGAGCTAGGATTTCAATCCAAGTAATAGGATTTCTGACCCTTAGCCTTTCCTTTGTACCATGCTGTTTTTTATGGGGGTTTAACCTGGAGAGAAAACTTAGGGAATATGTGACAGCTGTATTCAAGTATTTGAAAGGTTGTTGTATCAAAGAAGAATTTTAATTTTGTTACTTGGTTCTAGAGAACTAGCAGCAACAGGTATTAAGTTTAAGAGGCAGATCTATGGATTTGTACAATGTAAACACAGTCTGTTCTGATATAAAATGTATTTCAAAAAATGTAAATCTGTTGCAGTGTGACTGATACATGAGGAAACATTTTGAGAATAATTTAAATTTGCTTGTGTCATTTTTTCATAAGAAAGTGAGATGAACACAGAGAATTGTACCATTTCATAATAACTCTCAAGCTGCAGCCCTTCCAATGTCCACTTTCATAATCAAACTTCAAATCTTTGTCAAGGTAAAGTGTCATATTTATTGTATATTTTCTGGTGCAGTAGGAACTTTGCGCTGAGGAGGGCTGGTCTCCCCTTCTTCCCCTCCTCCCCCATGGCCTCTAGAGTGTAGACCAAGCAGCACTATTTATTATTTATGTATTTGTTACCCATTTCACATATATAAAACTGTGCTCCTACTTTTATTAGGTTCCTATCTTTTTTAAAACATGAGATATTAATGTGTCATTTTGGAGTGTTATATCCTTAAGCCCATTTCCCTTGTAAACTCTGTAGTTTTTATTGACTAATTTTGTATTGTGCAGTGCTTTTCAGAGCTGAGAAACCTTGGGAAACAGAGAGTTCCAGGAAGGCTAGATGACTTGGGGATGGTGCTAGGGATGTTGCAGGTGGAATTCCTTTTCAGGTATGAGCTGGACTAGATGACCTCCTAAGGCTCCTTCTAATTGAAATTTTATGATGACAGTGACAAAAAAAAAACAACAACAAACCTACATACAAACCTACATAAAATCCAATTCATCATGTTCCTCTAAATTCCATCTTTTTATTATTACTTTTCAGAAGTAATAGATTATGTCTATTTTCACCTTGCAGATGGCAAAGAGGCTTGCTATGGGTCCTGTGGTATTTCCCAGGGCAGCCCTAAGGTGAAGATTTTGAATAAAAACTTAAAACTGTTAAGACTCCTATAACTCATAACTGATTTGCGCATGAAAAGTAGCTTTTCCTGACATGATGGCCACTGTATTAGATGTACTATAATCACACTTAAATAGGGCATTCAGGTCTACAAAGTACATACACTTTAAAGCTAGAAGGGACCTTCAGGAACATTCAATCCAAACACCTTATTTTACAGAGGAAGAAATGGAAGCTCTGAGAGGTGAAGACTGAGGACTCACAGGGCCTGGCAAGATGCGGAGATGAGCTCTTGACTCCTCATTCAGTGCTTCTCCTCCAGCCATACCTGCCATATTATATTATCTGACCCCTTCCCAAAGCCTGGGAGGAAAGCTTAGCATTATTATTATTATTATTATTATGATTCACATTTTGTCCACGTGGAGTTTGAGGCTGACAGATGTTAGATCACATGCTCGAGAAGTGGGATTCAAACCCAGGTCTCTCTGGACTCTAGGCTTAAGTCCTCTTTGCACAATGTCAAGCTGTCTCCCAACTGTCAGTGGTAGAAGATACTTTAAAAACTGCCCAATCTTACAACCTTACTTTGTGGCTGAAGGCCAGAAAAATTAAGTGACTTGCTTGAGATGACTTTGCTAGTTATGGGGAGAGTCAGCCTAGAGCCCAGTCTCCTGCCTTCTGGGCTGGGGACCTTTCTACTACATTACGTGACATGCATTTCACGTCTCATGTTTTGATGTACACCCTTTCCACTTAAACTTCTCCTATGTCAGAGGTGAGAGAAAACCTTTAAAAAGTAAATTTTAGTTTTATAATTATACATTTTTAAAAGCCTCTCTCTAACATATACAGTCAACTTCCAATTCAGGGACGAATTCTCCTGTTCATGAATTACAATAATAATGATAATAGAGAACATTCATATAGTGTTTTCTATGTACCAGGAACTGTGCTAAGTACTTTATAATTATCATCTCATTGGATGCTCACAAAAGTCCTGTGAGGCAGGTGTTATTACCCCCATTTTACAGATACGGAACCTGAGGCACACAGAAGTTAAGTGACTTAGCTAGGTCATATAGCTAGTAAGTATCTGAGGCAGGATTTGAACTCAGGTCTTCCTGATTGTAGCCTGCGCCCTCTCTCCACTGCACCCCCTAGCTGCCCTAGGCAGTTCGTCCAGGCTCTTTTCCTCTTCTACTATATAACCTTTCAGCACTGATAGCAGCTAGGGAGGATGAAGAAAGGAGTGAACCTCAAATTATGCTACTTATTAACAGCTGAGTTCTAAAGAGAAAGGGGTGGCCATATTTTACAGTCTTTAAAATTTTTTAATGTGTCAACATTAAGCTGCACCTATCTCTGATAAGTCAATCTCGGCTATGATAAGCAATTACTCTTAGGTACATACCATAAAGGACCAAGTTCTATTGCTGTCTTTCCAGGCATGCTTCCATGGCAGTCACATGGCAGTTGTCTATATGGATTTTCTGTACAAAGTAAAAGAGGTGTGGATGTAATTTAAGTAAATTAAAATGCACTCATATTAGAACAAGAACATAGCTTTTGCTAGGACCTGGAAGATCCAAAACAAAACTACAAACTTCCATCTGATAACCCAGCCCTCCATTCTATTAGCTACTTCACTTGCGGCACAATCTCAAAGGGGTGTGCCTAAAGAGAGCATAATTCAGACTAAAACCCCAGGAGATCTGTCATCATCTAAGTCATCTCTGGTTTGGAGGACAAAGAGACTGTACTGGTTCTACTGCTACTGGGGGAACCATGGCAAACTGGCAGTTGAGTTTAGCACCTTCCAATCTACTCGAGAAGAGACATTCCCCACTTTAATTCCTCCCCAAACTGGCCTGGGCATGTGGATCCTTCTCTCTCTCCCACCCCCCAAAAACATGCTTGTCCTCATAATCCTGCTCTTAAGTTCTCCTAGTTCTAAGCCAATACCAGCCATGAAATGTTAGAAGTTGTGGGGATATTGGTAGTATTTAAAGGAGAGGAGAGAATTTTCTTATACAGCTAGTATTAATTTTAAATTTTGACACCTTTTGTATTTATATCCACTTTATTTTCAAATAGATCCCTCACCCACCTTGTGAGCCATACTTTATAACAATTTGGCCACACTAAACAACACATCAACTGAGTCTGATGGATGTGCTACATAGCCAAAGCACCCCCATTTCTGCAAAAAAGCGAGGGAAGTTCATTTTCTCATCTCTTTTGGTTATTATAATTATACAAGCAGCATAGTGGACCATGTGCTGGACTTGAAGTCAGGAAAACCTGAGTCGGAATCTTGCCTCAGACACTTACCACTATATGACTGGGCCAATTCTTTCAAACTTTCTTACTCTTCTCAAGGGCACCACCATGTTACCAGTCACCTAAGCCCGTAATCTAGGTCATCTTCAAATCCTTACTCTTCTTACCCCCCCATATCCAATTGCCAAGTCTTGTTAATTTTACCTTTGTAACATCTCTGATACATGCCTCTTTCTCTTCCCTGACACTGCTACCACCGTCATGTGGGCACTCATTATGTCATCCCTGGGACTATTGCAATAGGTTGCTGGTAGGTAGGCCTGCCTCAAGTCTTTCCTCACTCTAGTCCATCCTCCAAAATGAGCTGTCAGAAAGCGCAGGTCTGACCATGTCAATCCCCATTCAATGAACTTCCTATCACTTAGAAGTTCAAATATAAAATCCTGTTTGGCTTTTAAAGCCCTTCATAACATGGCTCCCTCTGATCTTTCCTGTGTTTTTATATCTTATTCACCCCTCCCACACTCTGAGATTGACGGACACTGGTGTCTCTGCTGTTCCTTGGACAAGACACTCTAGTTCTGGACTGTCCATTTTCACTGACTGTCGCCCCCCTCTCTCCTCATACCTGCCTCCTGGCTTCTTTCAAGTTCCAGCTAAAATTCCATTTTGTTTTATAAGACATCATTATTCCTGGTTCCCCTTAATACTAGTGCTTTTCCACTGTTCATTATCTCTAATTATCTATGATCTATATCCATCATTTACGTCTTGTTTGTATGCTATTCCCCATTAGACTGTTAGCAATGATTGCCTTTTTGCCCTTCTCTGTATTCCCAGTGCTAAGCACAGTGCTTCATAGAGTAGGTGCTTAATAAAAGTTTGCTTACTGATTGACTTAAACTCTCTTAACCTCAGAATTCTTACCTATAAGATGGAATCAGAATAGCATTTTCCTAACAGGAGGATTCAAATGAGAGAACATACACACACACACACACACACACACACACACATAAATAATGCTTGGCAAACTTTAAAGCACTATATAAATGTTAGATTTTGTTATTATTATGGTAATTCCAAGAATGAGAATCACAAGGAAAGGGATATCAGCAGCTGGGAATCAGGAAGGCTTCATGCAGAAGATAGTGCTTAAGTAGCATCTTAGACAAAAGGGCTCATGAGGCATGGGGAAGAGGGAGCTCATTCCAGGTCTGAGGAACAGCCAATGCAAAGGCAGAGACGGGAGACGTGTGGCATGGGAGGAACAGAGGGAAGGCCAGTTTTGCTGGATCATAGTATGTGGGAGGGGGAATAATGTTCAATAAGGTTGGAAAGACAGGTCGAGGCCAGGCTGTGTAGGGATTTAAAGAGCTCAGCAGAGGAGTTTATGGGATCCAAGGCGTAACAGGAAGCCACTATAGTTGACAGCATAGAGGAGTGACATGAGAAGATCTATGATTAAGTAGAATGACCTTAGCAGTAGTGTGGAGGATGGACCGGAGCAGAGCAGGAAGAACAATTAGGAGGGTGCTGCAATCACCCAGGTGAGATGAGATGAGAGACAAAGTGGTGACTATGTGAGTGGAGAGATGGGGACAGATGTGAAAATATTGTGAAGGTAGAAATGACAAGATTTGGAGTGACTGGACGTGTATGGGGAAGGGATGATGGAGAGTGAGGTGTCCAGGACCATGTTAAAGTTTTGTACCTGGGAGTTTGGAAGGATGATGATGCTTTTGAAGACAAATCACCAGAAATGAGGTGATTAGTTTACACAGCATCTGAGATTCCTCTTGGCTATAGATCTATGATTCCGCAACTAGACATGTTTTGGCAAAAAAGTAATCTGATCTACTTTACTTAAACTGGTGAGGTTGAAGTGATGGTATGATTCAGAGGAAAAAACACTGAACTGGTATTGAGAAGACCTGGACTCTACACCTTGGCTGTGTGACTTGGACAAAATCATTGATCCTCTCAGCATCTTTGATTGTTTATGTATAAAATGAAGATAAAACTACAGGGATCAAAAGAGATAAAGGACATAAAAGCTCTCTGTAAGCCGTGCCCTATGCACTGTGCTAAGAGCTGGGGATACAAAGAAAGGCAAAAAAACAGTCCCCGCTAGCAGTCTAATGGGAGAAGATGCGATATTTGTGCAAACAAGTATGTACAAATAAGATACAGAGAGGATAGAAGGCAGCTAGGTGGTGCAGTGGATAGAGCATTGGCCCAGGAATCAGGAGGACTTGAGTTCAAATCTGACCTCAGATACATGACACTAGCTGTGTGACCCTAGGCAAGTCACTTAACCCCAATTGCCTCGCAAAAAAAAAAAAAGAATACAGACAAGATAAACTGGGCATATCTCAGAGAAAAGGTTGGTTGCTTGGTTACTGTTCTTTGTTCTCAAAGAGGACCAAAATGACATCACTATGTTAGAGTCAAGTTACAGTATGTCCAGCTATGGTTGATCATACCAAACAATATGACCTTAGAATGCTCTACCACAGGTCGGGAACAAATAGTCTGTGTGAAAATTTGGGGTGGATTCTCTAAATTTGTGCATCTCAAGTTTCTTTTGAGCTACTTCAATTCTGCTTTGCTCACAGGGCACAGCACCTTCTCTGATGAGGGCACGCCACGCTGGCGGTCCTGTGCCAGTGTCTCCCATATTATGCAATCAATTCCAAAGCATCCTTGTATTGTTTCCTCTGACCACCATGTGAGCACTTGCCTTGTGTAACTCGTTCTCCATAAAATAGTCTTTTTGGCAAGTGTATGTTTGGCAAACAATGTGGCCAGCCCATCAGAGTTATACTGTCTGCAACAGAGTTTGAATGCTTTGCAGTTCAGCTCAAGAAAGGACCACGGTGTCTAGTACCTTATCTTGCCAGATGATCTTCAGAATTTTCCTAAGACAATTCAAATGGAAGCCATTCAGTTTCTTGGCATGGGGCTGGTTTATCGTCCACATTTCACAGGTCAGCACAATGGCTCTGTAGACCTTCCATGTGGTAGTCAGTCTAATAACCTCTTTTCTTCTCTCTCACACTTTCCTTCCCAGTCTCCCAAACATTAAGTTAGCTGGCAATGCATGCATCAACCTCATCATCAATGTGTATATCCCTGGCAAGTATATTGCCAAGGTAAGTGAACTTACCCACAGTACTCAAAACTTCTCTATCTGCTGTAACCGATGGTTCCACATATAGATGGTGTGGTGCTACCTGGTGGAGCACCTGTGTTTTCTCGGTGTTAATTGTTAGGCTAAAATTAGCACAAGCAGCAGAGAATCAATCCATGCTTTGTTGTATCACAGCTTCAGAGGCTGCATTGAGTGCACAATCATCTGCAAACGGAAAATCATGCACCAACACTCCCTCCACTTTGGTCTCGGCTTGTAGCCTTGTTAAGATGAAGAATTTATCATCAGTGTAGTAGTTGACATTGATGTTGTGTTTGTCCTCATTGAAGGTGTTTGACAACATGGCTGAAAACATGCTAAAAAGCATGGGAGAGGGGCAGCTAGGTGGCGAAGTGGATAGAGTCCCGGCCCTGAAGTCAGGAGGACCTGAATTCAAATCTGACCTTAGACCAAACACTTCACACTTACTAGCTGTGTGATCCTGGGCAAGTCACTTAACTCCAACTGCCTAATTAAAAAAAAAAAAAAAGCATGGGAACAAGGACACAGCCTTGTTTTACTCCACTAGTGACCAGGAAAGTGAGAAAGCATTGTCCATTATCCAGAACCCAGGCAAGCATGCTATTGTGAAATCGATGTACAATACTGATGAACTTCTCTAGACAATCAAATTTTGACATAATTTTCACGAGCAATGACTGAATCAAAGGCCTTGGTTAGATCTACAAATGTTGTATAGACCTCTGTTGTGCTCCTGGTATTTCTCTTAGAGTTGCTGAGCAACAAACACCATATTGACTATTCCTCGGCCCTTTCTGAATCCATGCTGGCCCTCAGGTTAGATGACCATCTTCCAAGTGAAGGATTAGCCTATTAAGAAGGACTCCAGCAAGAATCTTGCCAGCAATGACTGCGAGAGAGAGACCCCTTGTGATTGTCACAGGACAATCTATTTCCTTACCTTTACAGAGATGGACAATGGAGGAGTCCTTGAACTCATGGGGGATAACGTCCTCTTGCCATATTAAATCGGAAAATTTCAGTGAGCTTTTGTATGAACAAAGGATCCCCCAACTTGTAAATCTCAGCTGGAACAGAAACAGCACCAGGTGCTTTGCCACACAAAAGGAGCTTAATGGCATCAAAACCTCTTCAGCTGGAACTTCAGTTAGGGAACGGCTGACTTCAACCTGAAGTAAATGGTCAATGGCCTCAGCACTGATTGATGATGAGCTGTTGAGAACACTATGGAAGCGTTCGGCCCATCTCTCTAGGCTCATATCCTTATTACTAGTCAAGGTGGCTCCGTCAGCACCGAGTAGCTGAGGTGCACCATAGGTCTTTGGCCCACAAATAGCTTTCAGGGAATCATAAAACCACTTTGGATCATTAGTATCAGCATAAAACTGCATTTTATCTGCCTTCTTGCTGAGCTAAGAAACCCGCACCTCTCTAAGCTTTGCTGATCCTTTACTTCGGATGGAATTAATTGCTGCCTTCTTAGAGATGGATAAACTATCCTTCTACAAACCTTGTGGAGTTCTTGTTTTGTTATCAGCTTCTGAACTTCCCCATCATTTTCGTCAAACCAGTCTTGATGTTTACAAGTGTTCTGACCCAGATGAACAAACGCAGTGCTGCACGCCGAATCTCTGAAAGCTGCCCACTCACTCCTTTTCTGTTTCACTGTTGCCAACTGTGTGTTGGCTCAATTTTCCCTCTACGTTAGCAACAAATTATTCCCACTCAGAGAAGTGCTCTAATATGTTGACATTAATTCTTCTGGTAGTCATTTTGCCTCGGGGATATCCCTTCTGTTGAATGTGAATATTTAGCTTGGAAAGGATAAGTCTATGATCAGTCCAGCACACTGCACCACACGTTGCCTTCATCATCTTCACATCCTGTCTCTCTCTTCTCCTTACAATCACACAGTCAACTAAATGCCAATGTTTGCTGTGAGGGTGCATCCACAAAATTTTATTGCATTTAGGTAAACAGTGGTGGTGATAAGAAGGTCATGAGATTCACATAGTAAGTGACCACTCCTGTTGCTCTTTCTAATTCCATCCCTCCTCTGCTGTGTCTGGTAGTCTGGGCCTACTCTAGCATAAAAGTCATCCAGAATCATAAGCTTGTCCTCTTTTAGCACATTGATGATAAGGGTCTTCAGGTTTTCATAAAATTTTTCTTTGACCTCGTCAGGGTTTGTTATGGAGGCAGCACAGGCGCTGATGATGGTGGTGTCGTGTTTTCCTGCAAGCGGCCATCACATTATCACGAGCCTGTCACTGACTGCTTTTGGCAGGCGTACAAGCTCACTTACTAGATTAGTTTTGATTGTGAAACCTACATCAGTTTTATGGTGCTCCCCCTTCACTGCAGCCACTCCAGAAAAAGGTGTCTCCAGCTCCAACTTCAGTAAGCTGGCCTTCACTTGCCAGCCTTGTTTCACTCAGGGCTGCTACTTGGATACAATACCTGCTGAATTCTCTTGCAACAAGAGCTTTTCCTCTTTTAGGTCTACTATTAAGATTAGGAAGGACCGGGAAAGGCTTCTTGCTGAGGGTGAGATTTTAGCTGAACCTGAAGCAAGCCAGGGAAGCCAGGAGGAAGAAATGAGGGAGAGAATTCCAGGTACAGGAGACAACCAATGAAAATGCCATACAAGCGGAGCCAAGATGGCAGAGTAAAAGCAGTGACTTGCTTGAGCTCTCCCCCAAACCCCTCCAAATACCTATAAAAAAATGGCTCTAAACAAATTCTAAAGCAGCAGAACCCACAAAAAGACAGAGTGAAAGAAATTTCCAACCCAAGATAACCTGGATGGTTGATTAGAAAGGTATATCGCGCCAGGCTGGGAGAGAAGCACAGTTGGGCATGGGCACGCAGGCTGCTGTGAACCTGGAGCAGGCTTCAGAGGACTGAAATGAGGACAGCTGTGGCAGTTTCCAGACTTCTCAACCCACGAATGCCAAAGACAACTTAGAAGATCAGTGGGAAAGTCTGTTTCTGCCGTGAGAGAGAAGCATGGTGGGGTTCCAGCCCCATTCCCTGAGCTCAGCTCTGGGGTGGCGGCTGCCTCTTGAGCTTCTGGCCCATAGACTGAGGGGGAATCGAGTGGGTGATCAGAGGGACTGAAGGGATCTCTCTGCTGGTGCAGGATTCTCTTGCTTTACCCATGCTTGGATCTGGGTCACAGTTCTGCGTGGATGTCCTGGGGCGAGAAGGAGCGCTGGCATGGTGGAGCTTGTAGTGGTTATGGAGAGGAAATCCTTCTCGTAGTTCCAAGACAGAAAAGAGTGCTCATAGACTAGACCACAGGCCAGGAAAGGAGTAAACACCTCGCCCTTGATCATAACACCTTGGAAGAATGGAAAATTTACAGGTCCCTAGAAGTATCTCTGAAAACAGCTGCACAAAACCCCTGAAGCTTCGGACAGTACATTCTCTACACTGGAAATAGACCTCTACCTTAACAAAGAGTTTATAATTCAAGTAATTGGCTGGGATCATGAGCAAGCAGCGCAAAAAGAGTCAGACTATATTATCTTACTTTGGTGACAAGGAAGATCAAAACACACAACCAGAAGACAACGAAGCCAAAGCTCCTACATCCAAAGCCTCCAAGAAAAATATGAATTGGTCCCAGGCCATGGAAGAGCTCAAAAAGGATTTTGAGAAGCAAGTAAGAGAAGTAGAGGAAAAACTGAGAGTGATGCTAAAGGAGACCCCAAAAAATATTGAAGAAAACAACACAACCAAACGGCAAAAGAGGTCCACAAAGACAATGAGAAGAATGCCCTAAAAAGCAAAATTGGTCAAATGGAAAAGGAAGTCCAAAAGCTTACTGAAGAAAATACTTCCTTAAAAATTAGAATGGAACAATTGGACGCTAGTGACAATTTGAGAAATCAAGGCACCGTAATACTAATCTAAAAGAATGAAAAAATAGAAGACAATGTGAAAAACCTCATTGGAAAAACAACTGACCTGGAAAATAGATCCAGGAGAGAGAACTTAAAAATTATTGGGCTATCTGAAAGCCAAGATCAAAAAAAGATCCTAGACATCATCTTTCAAGAAATTATGAAGGAAAACTGCCCTGATATTTTAGAACCAGAAGGCAAAATAGAAATTGAAAGAATCCACCGGTCACCTCCTGAAAGAGATCCCTGAAGGAGAACTTCTAGGAATATCGTAGCCAAATTCCAGAATTCCCAGGTCAAGGAGAAAATATTGCAGGCAGCCAGAAAGAAACAATTCAAGTATTGTGGAAACACAATCAGGATAACACAAGATTTAGCAGTTTCCACATTAAGGGACTGGAGGGCATGGAGTATGATATTACAGAGGGCAAAGGAGATAGGACTACAACCAAGAATCACCTACCCAGCAAAACTGAGTATAATCCTTCAGCGTAAAAATTGATCATTCAATGAAATAGGGGACTTTCAAGCATTCCTGAGGAAACAACCAGAGCTGAATAGAATATCTGACTTTCAAATACAAGACTCAGGTGAAACACGGAAGAGGTAACAGGAAGAGAAATCATAAGAGACTTATTAAGATTGAACTGTTTAATTCCTGCAGGAAAAGATGATATTTGTAACTCATGAGTCTTTTATCAGCATTAGGGTAGTGGGAGGGAAAAAAATTATATGTATGTATAGATAGACAGATATAGGGCACGGGGTGAGTTGAAGATAAAGGGGTGATACCTGGATAATAAAATTAAGGGGTGAGAGAGGATTATACTGGGAGAAGGAGAAAGGGAGAAGTAGAATGGGGTAAATTATCTCACATGAAACAGACAAGAAAAGGCTTTTGTAGTGGAGGGGAAATGGGGGAAGGTGAGGAAATGAGTGAATCTTATCCTCATAGGATTTGGCTTAAGGAGGGAATAACATACACAATGGGGTATGGAAATCTATCTTACCCTACAGGAAAATAAGGCGGGAAGAGGACAAGAGAGCAGGGGGTTGACAGAGGGGAGGGCAAATTGGGAGAAGGGACAATCAAAAGCAAACACTTTTGAGTAGGGACAGGGTCAAAAGAGAAAATAGAATAAATGGGGGTGGGGTAGGACAGGATGAAGGGAAATATACTTAGTTTTTCATAACATGACGACTATGGAAGCGTTTTGCATGATTACACATCTATAACCTGCATCGAGATGCTTGCCTTTTCAATGAGGGTGGGTGGGGAGGGAGGAAGGGAGAAAATCTGTAACTCAAAGTTTTAAAAACACATACTAAAAAAATAAATAAATAAATAAACAAAAAAGAAAATGCTATTCAAGTGGTTATTAGGGAGGGGGTTGGGCTAGAAAGTATGTATTTGGTAATAAAAACAAATACCACTTTAATAAATTCATAGGAATGTTCTAACTGCTAAGGAAGGGAATTCTAACATAACAAATAATGTATCCATATCAAATTATCAATAATATGTATGGTAAGGATAGTTAATACTTATTTATAGATTATATTGGAAATACACTGAAAATTAAAGTCTTATTTACCTTCTACCATATTACCATCCTTCTGAAAAATCCTCTCTTCACACCACTGGCAGTGAATCAAGTACCGAATTTTCTTTGCTGTTTCATCAGCTGGGGTAGGACCCCTCAAAACTCTCACAACCACAAGGACAAAATGTTCTAGGGCTACTGCAAACAATACTTCTATACCTTTATTACAACGAGTTGCGGCTCTGTAGGAATGAGAAAGAGGAGAAGTTGTTTTTGGACATCAGCTATAGTTTTACTACTTTGATAATGCTAACTTGGATGGTGTAGATTGAGAAGAGAATTCAATTCTTATCAAAAAATGCTTCACAAACAGAAATACTATTATTACTTTCACCCACTTCTAAAAATGGAGAAATGGGGCAGCTTGGAATGTGAGGCGGGGATCAGAGCTGTCCCTCTTCCCCCTTTGCTGACTTCTATTAGCTACTTTTCATAGCCCATTTCCTTTCTACCTTCCCTGCCCTATGCTTTCCCCTGCTATTACCTTCCTATCCCATTACTTACTAGTCTGCTGGTCTGTTCTGTCTGATTTTGTGTGTGAAATTCTTACTTAGGAGGGTATGTTTTTTCCTTTAGTAATGCGCATGTGCGTGCATGTGTGTGTATACATATACATACACACATAGCATTTACTGTATGCTAAATGCCAGGGGAGAGATACAGAGACAAGATCTTTGTAGCACTCAGTATGACATATGGGTAAATAACTATAATACAAATTATATTTAAGTGTATAAAGTGGTACAACCAGGTGCTTTGTGAGGCCTGAGTGAAAAGGTGTTGGAAAAACTTTCATGGAGAAGGTGGTACTGATCTGGCCATCGAAGGATCAGGTAGACTTGGGTGCTAAGGCATCTAAGGTATGGGTAATGGCAAGAGCAAATATATACAGAAGGGCAACAAACAGTATGGAGACGTGGATGGAGGTAGCAAACACCCCCGTTTTATTAGAGCATAGAGAGCATGGAGAGCATGAGATAAGACTAAAAATGGAGGTGGTATCAGATTGTGGAGGGCCTTGAATGCCAAGCTAAGGAGTCTGGATTGCAAGCAGTATATAAAAGGAACAGCTGAAAGGTTTTGAGCAGAGGAGTATTATGATCATATTTATACATTAAGAATATTATTCTGATAACAAGCATCCATTGGGAGAAGGTCAGGAAAGTCAGGAAGGTAACATCCTAATTTAAATTGAGGGTAATGAGAATCTTCATTAGGGTAGTAGACCTACCCAATGGATCTGACAGATCTGACTGTGGAGGTAGAATCTCCACAGGACTTCACAAATGACTAGCTATATGGGGTGATGGAGCAAATTTTCTCTTCCTTTTTTCTACTAATTTAGATCCATCACAAAACCCATTTATCTTCACCAAGCCTTCCGTGATTAAATCCACCTGAATTTGATTAGAAACTGCCACACTGTGTCTCTGCAGTATTAATTTAGTTTGCACATATTAACTTACATTTGCTGATGTTTCCTCAGAAACATTAAGCCACTTATTCTGTGCATGTTCTGTCTCCCTGAATTAGGGAAAGTGCCCCAAGGAACAGACAGTCTTCTATTTCTTCTGTATGGGTACCTACTGTAGCAACATGCACATCACTGGTGCTTGAGAAATGTTTAATGAATAAAGCCCTTCACTTCTCAACTGAAGGAAGAATCACTGCTTGTAGTCAAACCAACTAAATAAAGGAGAAACAAAATAAAAAGGACCTAAAATAATTTAATAAGCTTTCTCCCTAACCTTGGTTAAAATTTTTGTTTATCTTTCCCCTGTTGCTTTTGTCCTCCATTTTCTTATTCCTTCTTATCTTCTACAATGAAATATATTAGTCTGAAGTTATCTTTTACTTCTCCCTCCCCACAGCTTCAACTGCCTTTTCATAAGCTTTAACAGGAATTTATATGATAATAATTTATACATCTGGTTTTTGTCTTTTAAGACAATAATTCTTGATAGGAAACTCCCAACAATTAGAAATTACCACATAAAACGAAACACATAAATCATTATCAATTCAACTCAAAACACAGAAATACAATGCATACTGCACGGATATTCTGATAAACTAGAGAGTAAACCCCATTGTACATAATTACATGAGATACTAGCATACTACGAGGTGTGTTGTCAGTAATCAGTACCTTGCCATGGCGGCCACAACAATTCTGGCTGCCAGTTCCTTGTAATACTCAGTTCGAACAATGTTACAGCCATAGTGTCGCCGAGCCACATGTAAAGCCTTTGCATATAAAGAACTGATATCTGTCGAAGTTACTGACACTATCCCAAGATTTCTTACATTTCTGAAGGCAGAATCTAGATAGTTCACTGATGTTCCAAATGGGTCCAAGTGTCTAAAAATCACAAAAGACATATTAGCACTTAAAAAAATGCATTAATAACCACAAAACCCATGAGAGTCAGCCTTCTGGTTAGCTCATCAGAGAAACTCTGGCAAAAGATACACATTCAGCCACGTGAAGAGTTGTAGGAGAGATGCTCCTATCAAATTGACTATTTCATGGATATAAAAATACTTTACACATCTATAAGTTAGATGGAGCTCATCTTTCAAAGTATGTGAAAATCAACTGGATAATCTGAGAAAACTCAAATCAGAAACAAACAAAATAAAGCTAGGCTTAGAAGACCAAGTATAAAATTTAGGGCTATAAAATTAAAGTTGTTGATGCTTTTTTTTAAGCTGTATTTTTTCCGGACCTCTGATTTAATTGGCATAGGGATCTACCAGTGAGGAATCTCCCTTTAAGGATTTAGATAGGCAACTAAGATTCTTGGAGAACTGGGGCACTAAGAGATTAAATGACTTGCCCAGGGTCACAGATTAGAGATGTCAAAAGTGGGACGTGAATCCTGACTGAAGCCAGCTTTTTATCTACTGTGTTATGTAATGCTGCTTCTCTTTTCTTACGCTAACATAGAAAAATTCCTCAATTAAATAGAATCAATAGGAGTAAAGGAACAACTATAAATAGTAAGGAAGGAACAAGTACAATATATTTTTATCTTACATAAAGTCAAATGATCTCAAGTGCATTAGTACATTGGCATCCATTTTGGTCACTTCAATAGCACCAACGTTTTCCTCTCCTTCTTCCAGAGCTTCATCACACTCATCCTCTTCTTTACTGTCCAACATCACTTTCATTTTGTTTAAATGGCAATTTTCCTGAATCATTGTCACAGAGTTTTCATTAAAATCATTAATAGTAACCTTGACTGCATTCCCAAGGTGTTTTGCCCATTGTAATCCCATTATGCCTTAGGAGAGATGAGGAAGAGAAGACATTTTATTAGCAAGAAAATAACCATGAATAAAAAGAATACCAATTATGCCTGTTGCAAAGAGTACAATTTTAGAAACATTAAAATACATGTTTCAAATTTTGAATGTTTTCATAAACAATTTTTGGAAGTCTGTTAAAATATTAAGTATTTATTCAACATCAGAAAAAGCTACATTATTTCACAATGTTAACAAAGAAAGTCTGCTTAGTATGTTTTCATTCATAGCCCTATTAAGATTTTTTAGATCCCAGTTGAAAATAAATGCACCTTTCTTACACTTAGGGAGTGTTGGAGAAGAGTGGTGGGGTACCAAGAACTTCTTTGATACAATAGTCACTTAATGAGAGATGGAGGTGATAACCTTTGTCATGAGGTACTGGCCCATCCCAGGAAAGGGTGGCCATCTGGTTTGGGGGCTTAAGTGCCATTCACAGACAATTCAGTGCTGGAGACACAGCCTGACCAACCCTTCTGGGTGTTATGATCTATCCATTTTCTGCAGCAATGCTCCACTTTACTGAGAAACTTGAAATAAAATTTTTGAACATGAGGAAGAAACACAAGATTGTAAAGAACTGTTTCACTAGTAAAAAAACAGTAGAAAACGGAGGGAGAAACAGGACTGTTACTAATTTCTGGTTCATTATTTATTGAACAATGATTTATTAAGCACTTGTTATAGAAGGGCTGTGTGGCAGTTAGGGGAATAAATAGAGTACAAAACAATCCTCGACCTTAAGTAGTTTATAGTCTGCTTGTGGGAGAAATAATAACAGAGATAATAATAGCTAACACTTATATAGCACTTTTTATGTGCCAGGCACTGTGCTAAGCACTTTACAATTATTTTCTCATTTGATCCTCCCAACAACCCTGAGAGGAAGGTGCTATTATTATCCCCATTTTACACATGATAAAATTGAGGCCTACAAAGGTTAAGTATCACACAGGCTAGTAAGTGTAAGAGGCCAACTTTGAACCCAGGTGTTCCTGACTCCAGGCCCAGTACTCTACCCACTGTGCCACCTCACTGTCCTGTTAAGTCCCAGGGTCCAACTGTGACCCATTTGTGGTTATGGATGTGACCCCACGTTTCTAAAGGCTGAGCTGTACCGCAAATTCTGCGAAGTCATACAAAGCAGACACATATTGTCTGGAAATTCTGTACTTGCTTTCTCCAGAACCAGCCCAACTAGGGACACAGAGACTAATCACCAGTTTCTAGATACTCATATCTATTTAACAATAAATTCTTTGTTCATGGCAACCCATGAAACAAAGAAAAAGGCAAAATGGTCCTCTGCCCCCTTCCAATTCGGAAGGAATGGTAGTCGAGTGGTAGAAAAGGGGGCAGAGGGAGCTAAAAATCACACACTTTTTTAGACTATCTACAAACATTGGTATTCTAAATGTTGGATACTTGTTCAATGGAGCAACTGAATTCTCTAAATATTGATATTCTTACTATAGATGAAATCAGAAGATGGAAGGAGGCTGTAACTGCTTGGCTCACAGCTTCTCCTGAAGAGGCAAATAACGCTAGTGAGGTTGGTGGTTTTATCACGTGCAAAAAAGCAAAAAACCCCATAATTTCATGGAACATTTAGTTGTCTTATAGTGAAGTACATAAGACAAGTATTTTTAAAAGACTATCAAATAAATCATGAAAAGCTGCAACTTATGGATGAACACCTGTTGCAGAGGATGAAGAGGTAGGGAAATTAATGACAAACTTGTTTTAGTGTATTATAGGAGGTAGGATTCCTATAATAGTTTAAGTATGAGGTAATTAGGGAATGAATTAGGGGCTGAGGAAATGGAAAGGGAGTGAGAATCACTGACAGAGGAACTTAAAGGAGCTGGTGATTGGTTGGCTGGGGTGAAAGGGAGAGAAGCAAGGAAATGAAAGAAAGGGAAAGCTGGTGACTGAAAAATCTTGGCATCTTACACTCTATGTTAAGGCTTCTTAACCTGGGTTCCATGAACTTGTTTTAAAAAATGTGACAACTGTATTTTAAGATAACTAGTTTTCTGTGTAATCCTGGGTATTCTATTTTATGCATTTAAAAACATTTTTCTGAGAAGGGGTCCACAGATTTCACTAGACTGCTAAAGGGGGTCCATGCCAGGCACAAAAAGTTAAGAGTCCCTGCTCTACACAAAAACATCACTGGTCAGGAGAATGAAGATGACAAAGGGGTCAAACTTTCACCTTATAAGGTACAATGTGTCCAAAAGAACTCTGACTAAAATAACTTCCAAGAACCAGAATGAGCCTTGAGTACAACTGGGCTATTTGACTTGACATTACTGGCTTTTGCCACTTTCCTTCTGTGATTGTTGTATCCATATTTGGGGACTTTTGTTCAATTTCCTGTTCTCCATTTACATTACCTTAGATTTTCAATTTTATATCAAATTTTCCATGTTAGATAATGGTAACACAAAGCTAGCAAGTAAAATTAGGTTTTCTTGGTTTTTCTTTAAAATTTCTTTTCTTACCAGTGGCCCCAAAAGCATCCAAACACTCCAGAGGCTTTCGTTCCTCAGCCAACACAGCCAGTGTAGAGAATATCAGTTGCCTGGAAGAAAGTTTCAAAGTCTGAAATAATTTTATTTCTCCAAGGGCTCCTATATTGCTTTAAAAAGCCCTCAGGATAATCAAACAGTCTTTCTGAGGAGGGAGCTCAGACAGCATCTGATTCGACACACGTGTCAATAGGAATCCCTCCTACACTATCCCTGACAAATGCTTATCTAGCTTTCATCTAAAGGCTTCAAATGGTGGGGGACTAAACTATATTTCAGAGTAGCCTATTCTATTTCTGGACAGTGAGAGTCTTTAAGAAGCTTTTCTCATATTGGATCAACATTTCTCTCTTTGAAATTTCTACCCATGTTCTAAGTTCTGTTCTTGGGGGCAAAGAAGAAGAAGTCAAATTCTTTTTTTATATGATAGCCTTTCAAATTCTTGAGGTGTTATTATGAATCCCCTAAAGTTTTTCTTTATTGGGCTAAACATTCTAAATCATATGAACAAGGCCCTTGACCACCTTGGTTGGACCACAGCAGTTTACTAATGTCCTTCCTAAAATGTATCACCTTAACCAATACACTACTCTAGGTACAGTCTGATCAAGGAAGAGAAAAAGGGGAACACTATCCCCCTAATCCTGTAGACTAAGTCACTCTAAATGTAGCCCAAGATTGCCTTTTGTTTTTGGCCAACATACTCGGTCCTCCGTAATCTTCAATTTCTCTATACCTATTGGTTCCTTACCTACTGTATACAAATACAACCATATTTTCCCCAACCTTAAAAAACCCTCATTAGACTTGCCACCTCTTCAAGCTACAGTCTTTAAGTTCCCCTCCTTTTTACAACCAAACTCTTAGAGTTGTCAGCACTAATTGGCTCCAGAGCAGTGCTTTACGAAAACAGTTTGATAGCTGTGTGGAGGATAGATTGGAAAGGGAGAAACTTAAGGTAGGGAGATAGGTGAGATGATGACTGCGTAAGCAGAAAGAAAGGGCAGATGCAAAAATGGTGTGAAGTTCTTGTAGAAACAGCAAATTTTGGCAAATGACTGGACGTGTGATTAGGAAGCGATAAGAGTCAAAGGGGGCAGTTAGGTGGCACAGTGGAGAGGGTAACAGGCCTGCTGTCAAGCAGACTCATCTTCTTGAGTTCAAATCTGACCTCAGACACTTTCTGGTTGCATGATCCTGAGCAAATTATTTGACCCTATTTGCCTTATAAGGTTCCTCATCTGTAAAATGAGCTGGAGAAAAAAAATAGGAAACCACTCAGGTATCTGCCAAGAAAACCCCAAATGGGGTCATGAAGAGTTGGAGATGCCTGAAAAATGGCCGAACTGAACAGGGAATCAAAGATGATCCCACAGTTTTGGAACTTGGGCAACTGGAAGGTACAGTGATACTCTTGACACTAAAAAGGAAGTTTAGAAGGGTGTGATTTGAAGCTACATAGTAAGACATGATGAAAATCACAACCTATCCATGCCTATTCATCCTGTGTGATACTGTCCCTGTCAAAACAAAAAGAGATGGAGATGGAGCTCTTATTTACTGGTCCTTGCTTGGAGCACAGAACCCATTCTCTGAGGAGCAATCAGAAGAGCCACAAAGTGATCTAGGGAGCAGAAGTGGGAATGCTAGGAGAGCAGAATTTCTCCGAAGAAACTTGTATAGCTGAAGCAACTGGATAGCACTGGGATTGTAACTACTTTGAGGAGTGATACATGAAATGAGTAGCAGCAGCGTGGTGGGGATTAAGGGCAGGTGTGGTTGTGTTGGAGGTAATCATGGAGATAAGCCCCATGATCGACTTCTGTGGGGAGAGTGGAATGTGACTCATATTCCCATCCTATCATTAATGGCTCACATGAACCCCCGGGTGCAGGTTAGAGCTCCCACTTTTGGAGATCACTGCTCTACTTTTTCTGGGTGGCCTCCCATGGGTTTAATTATCATCTCTATACACATGATCCCATGACCAGCCCTGGATTCTTTCCAGTAATTCAGTTCCATAACACCAGTTGTCTATTAGACATTCTCAACAGATGTATGGTAGGCATCTTAAATTGAACACGTCCACTGTTCTTCCTCCCAGACTCACCTTCTCTGTATTTATTTCTTTTAGTAATCTAGGTTTCTGACCTCAGTTATCTTTGACTCCTCAATTTCCCTTTCCCTCACATTTCCATTCAGTCTCCATATATTGTAAATTCTATATCTCTTGGACCTGTGCTCTTCCCCCCCCCAACATGGCCATCACTCTACTTTCAGGTCTTCATCAGCTCTCATCTTAATTACTGCCACACTGCACAAGCTGTTGAACTAGGCTGCTTGTCTAGGGCCTAGGGCCACATACCTGTCACTAAGTTCTAGTGGTTCCTATTACCTCTAGGATTAAGTAGATTAAAAATATACACAAAGTACATATGGAATAATTTTGAAGGGAAGCCCTAAATACTGTTTGGCATTAAAAGACCTTTATAACTTAACTCTAACTTACCTTTGTAGTCTTATTGTGTATTGTTCTCCATCACATACTGTACAGTAGCCATAGTGGTGTCTTCACACATAGCACCCCATCTCCTGTTTCTGTGTACATCAGGCTGTCCCTTGCCTGGAATGCTGCCCCTCCTCACCTCTGCCTCTTAAAAGTCTTCGTTTCCTTCAAAGCTCAGCCCAAACACTGCCTCCTTCTAAGAAACATGAAGTCTTTCTTGATCTCTTCAGCTGTTAGGGCTTCCCCTCAAATTTATTTCATATGTACTTTGTGAATATCTTTAATCTGCTCATATTTGTTCTTGTTCCCCCCTACTGAAGGTGAAACTCCTTGAGTGCAGAGACCATTTGACTTGTTTTGTACCCTGAGAGTCCAGCATAGTGTAGACACTTCTCTCATACATATCATACAAATGGCTGTTTAACCACACTTCTTCTGCCATGTACTTGTGAAGTTCATTTTTTGAATATAAGTATGCTTTAGTAATGGTCTGCTCAGCACAGAAAACAGAGGGTCAGTCTGGATAGCACATCTCTACTACTGTACTCTAAGATTACACTCGCTGAGTTTTGTGGCTGCTATAATACATTACTGACTCCTTTTAAACTTATAAAGAATGAAGAGGGGGCAGAGTTAAGATGGTGGAGAGAAGCCAGGAAGTTGCTTGAGTTCTCCCAAGTTTCCCTTGGAAGCAATGTTAAATCAGGCGTGAGTGACAGAACCCACAAAAAGATGGAGTGAAACAATTTTCCTGCTTAAGATAACTTAGAAGAAGGACTTCAGGAAAGGTCAGTCTCATTTGGGTAAAAAGGGAGTGCAGCCAGCACAGGTGGTATCCAGGCAAGTCAGTGGGAGGCTGTTAGCCACAGCACAGATCAGCAACCAAGGCCTCTTGGTCCTGGCTCAGCAGGCCAGCCATGAGGCCTCCAGCTCAGAAGGTAAACTGCCAGTCCTGGAACATCTCCACCCTTCCCCCTAGCCCCGCACAATAGGTGGGACTAGGCCGGGCCACCCCAGCACAATTGGCAAGGTGCAAATTCCGGAGGCCCCAGTGCAGAAAGTCAGTGACCTGGGCCCTGGGCCCCCAGCACAAGAAGCTTGGGATAGTATCCCCTGTGCCCCGGGGACAGAGCTCAATTTTAAATGTCACGAAATAGGCTAAAAAAAACCAGCAAAAATCAGAAAAGAGTCCTGATCATAGAAAGCTACTATGGTGACAGGGAAGACCAAAACACAAACTGAGAAGAGGACAACAATGTCAAAATGCCTACATGCAAAGTCTCAAAGGGAAATATGATTATCCAGGAAAACTGGATATCCTAGAACCAGAGGGTAAAACAGTCACTGAAAGAATTCACCAATCACCTCCTGAAAGAGATCCCAAAATGAAAACTCCAGGGAATACTGTAGCCAAATTCCAGAATTATGGGGTAAAGGAGAAAGAAAGAGCCAGAAGGAGACAATTCAAATATCAAAGCGCCACAGTCAGGATTACACAGGACTTAGCAGTTTTTCCATTAGAGGACCACAGGGTTTAGAATATGATATTCCAAAAGGCAAAGGAGCTTGGATTACAACCAAGAATCAACTGCCCAGCAAAACTGAGCATAATCTTTTAGGGGAAAAGATGGAATTCAATGAAGTAAGGGACTTTCAAACTTTCCTGATGAAAAGACCAGAGCTGAACAGAAAATCTGATCTTCAAATATAAGACTCAAGAGAAGCATAAAAAGGTAAACAGGAAAGAAAAAACAACAGCATATAAAATTTAAACTGTTTTCCCTATACAGGAAGATGATACTTGTAACTCTTGAGAACTGTATCTCTATTACAGTAGTTAGAAGGAGTAAACATAAACAGAGGCTGTGGATATAAGTTGACTTTGATGTGATAATATTAAAAAAATTAAGGGATGAAAATGTACTGCTAGAAGAGGAAAGGGGGAGACAGAATAGGGTAAATTATATCACATGAAGAAGTGCAAAAGACCTATTACGGTAGAGGGAAAGAAGGGAAGGGATGGACATTGTTTGAACCTTACTCTCATCAGATTTGGCTCACAGAGGGAATAACATACACTCTCAGTTGAGTATAGAAATTTATCTTACCCTATAGGGAAGTAGGAGGCGAAAGGGGAAAGAAAAGGGAGAAGTTTGGGGTTGACAGAAGGGAAGACAGAAGTAGGAGGGGAAAGGAGAAAGAATAGGGAGAGGGAGCTAATAGAAGGGAGGACAGATTGAGGGAGGCGTTAGAAGCAAAACACAATTGAGGAGGGACAGGGTGAAAGGAGGGAGAAAAGTATAAAAGTATAAATAGAATAGAAGGAAATATAGTCAGTAATCCTAACTGTGAATGTGAATAGGATAAGCTCTCCCATAAGATGGAAGCAGTATGGATTGGAAACTAGAAACCTACAATATGATGTTTGCAAGAAAACCATTTGAAACAGATATGCACAGCGTAAAGGTAAAAGGCTGAAGCAGAATATATTGTGCTTCAGCTGAAGTAAAAAAAAGCAGGGGAGCAATCCTGATCTCAGACAAAGCAAAAGCAAAAGTAGATCTAATTAAAAAACATAAAGAAGAAAACTACATCTTGCTAAAAGGTCCCATAGACAATGAAGTCATATCAATACTAAACATATGCCCCAAGTGATAAACCATTCAAATTCTTAGAGGAGAAGTTAAGAGAGTTATAGGAAGAAACAGACCGCAAAACTATACTACTGGGGGATCTCAACCTCCCCCTCTCTCAACTAGATAAATCTAACCACAAATTAAACAAGAAAGAAGTTAAGGAGGTGAACAGAATTTTAGAAAACATAGATATGATAGACCCCTGGAGAAAACTGAATGGGGATAAAAAGGAATATACCTTTTTCTCAGCAGCACTTGGCACCTACACAAAAATTGACCATGTATTATGGCATTAAAAACCTCACAATCAAATGCAGAAAGACAGAATATTAAATGCATCCTTTTCAGATCACGATGCAATAAAAATTACATGTAATAAAAGGTTATGGAATGATAGACTAAAAAATAATTTGAAACTAATCTAATCCTAAAGAATGAGTGGGTCAAACAACAAATTACAGAAACAATCAAAAATTTCCTCAAAGAGAACAACAATAATGAGATACATACCAAAATTTACGGGATGCAGCCAAAGCATTCTTAGGGGAAATTTTATATCTCTGAATGCTTACATGAATAAAATAAAGAAAGAGCAGATCAATGAATTGGGCATGCAACTAAAAAAGCTGGAAAAAGAACAAATTAAAAATCCTCAATTAAATACCAAATTAGAAATTTTGAAACTCAAAGGAGAGATGAATAAAATTGAAAGAAAACCATTGAACTAATAAAACTAAGAGCTAGTTTTATGAAAAAAAAAATCCAATAAATTAGATAAACCTTTGGTTAATTTGATTTAAAAAAAAGGAAAAGAAAACCAAATTATCAAATGAAATAAAAAATGTATCAAAAATGAAGAGTGAATTCACCACCAATGAAGAGGAAATTAAAGCAATAATTAGGAGATATTTTACCCAAGTGAATGCCAAAAAATCTAACAAGCTAAGTGAAACAGATGAATATTTACAAAACTAAAAACTGCTCAGATTAACAGAGGAAATAAAATACTTAAATAACTCCATTTTAGAAAAAAAAATTGAACAATCCATCAATGACTTCCCTAAGAAAAAAATCTCCAGGGCCAGATGGATTTATAAGTGAATTCTACCAAACATTTAAAGTACAATTAATTATAATACTATATAAACTATTTGAAAAAACAGGTGAAAGAGTCCTATTAAACTCCTTTTGTGACACAAATATGGTGCTGATCCCTAAACCAGGAAGAGCCAAAACAGAGAAAGAAAATTATAGACCAATTTCCCTAATGAATATTAATACAAAAATTTAAATTAAGATATTAGTAAAGAGATTACAGCAATTTATCACTAGGATAATATACTATGACCAGGTGGGATTTATACCAGGAATACAGGGTTCAATATTAGGTTCAATATTAGGAAAACTATCAGCATACCTGACCATATCAATAACAAAACTAACAGAAATCATATGATTACCTCAATAGACGCAGAAAAAGCACTTGACAAAACATAGCACCCATTCCTATTAAAACCACTAGAAAGCAAAGGAATAAATGGAGTTTTCCTTAAAATGGTAAGTAGTAGCTATCTAAAACTATCAGCAAGCCTTATATGCAATGGGGATAAGCTAGAAGTTTTCCCAATAAGGTCAGGGGTGAAACAAGGATGCCCATTATTACCACTCTTATTCAATATTGTACTGGAAATACTAGCTTTAGCAATAAGAGGAGAAAAAGAAATTCAAGGAATTAGAATAAGCAATGAGGAAATAAAACTATCACTCTTTGCAGATATGATGGTATATTTAGAGAATTCTAGAGAATCAACTAAAAAACTACTTGAAATAATTAACAACTTTAGCAAAGTTGCAAGAACCCACATAAATCATCATCATTTCTATGTACTGCCAACAAAGTCCAGCAGCAAGAGATAGAAAGAGAAATTCCATTTAAAATAACTGTAGACAACGTAAAATATTTGGGAGTCTACCTGCCAAGACAAACTCAGGAACTATGTGAACACAATTATAAAACACTTTTCACCCAAATAAAGTCAGATCTAAACAACTGGAAAAATATCAATTGCTCATGGGTAGACTGAAATAATATAATAAAAATGACAATACTACCTAAATTATTTACTTATTCAGTGCCATACCAATAAAATTACCAAAAAAATTATTTTATAGAGCTAGAAAAAATAACAAAATTCATCTGAAAGAACAAAAGGTCAAGAATATCACGGTAATTAATGAAAAAAAAAATGCAAAGGAAGGTGGCCTAGCTGTACCAGGTCTAAAACTATTATAAAGTGGCAATCATCAAAACTATTTGGTACTGGCTAAGAAACAGAGTGGTGGATCAGTGGAAGAGGTTAGGTAAAAAAGACAGAGTAGGAAATGACTATAGTAATCTACCACTTGACAAACCCAAAGACTCCAGCTTCTAGGATAAGAATTCACTATATGACAAAAACTGCTGGGAAACCTGGAAAATAGTATGATAGAATGTAGGCATAGACTAACATCTCATCATACTGTATACCAAGAGGTCAAAATGAGATATAAAGGGTGATACCACGAGCAAATTAGGAAAGTAAGGAATAGTTTACCTGTCAGATATGTAGAAGAAAAAGTGGAAAATTGACTTCTTCACAACCCACCCTGACCATGAACACGTTTTACCTATACCTCCTAGGACTAGCACTGTAGAAATGCAGCTTGGTTCCCTTAAAAGTTCCCTAGTTCTTTCGTGGTTTTTCCAGTTAGCCAAAGATACCTGGAATATTTGACTGGATGTAGACAAGTGCAGAGAGAGATCTCAACAATGATATCTGTTACCCTCCAATTACTGCCTTGGGATTATTTGTTGGAAAACTGAGCAGCAGGACTCGGCCTCAAATGAGACAAACCTATGGGTTCCTCCTTTCAGTTTTAAAGTGAGGTATTTTTCATGAGCATCTTAAAATACTGAAAAGCAGGTTAAGAAGCTCTCTTAAAAGAGATTGAGAACATTATGAAATGCAAAATGGATAATTTTGATTAAAAAAATTTTTGCGCAAACAAAACCAATGTAATCAAGATTAGAAGGAAAGCAGAAAGCTGGGAAACAATTTTTAGAGCAAGTATCTCTGATAAAGGACTCATTTCTCAAATATATAGAGAACTGAGTCAAATTAGTAAGAATACATGTCATTCCCCTATTGATACATGGTCAAAGGATATGAACAGGCAGTTTTCAGATGAAGAAATTAAAGCTACCTATAGTCATATGAAAAGATCCTCTAAATCACTATTAGAGAAATGCAAATTAAAATAACTTTGAGGTACCACCTCAGACCTATCAGATTGGCTAATATGACAGAAAAGGAAAATTATAAATGTTGGACACAATGTGAGAAAATTGGAACATTAACGCATTGTTGGTAGAGTTGTGAAATGATCCAAGCATTCTGGAGAGCAATTTGGAACTACACCCAAAGGGTTATAAAGGGCCATTTCCTTTGATCCAGCAATATCACTACAAGGTCTGTATCCCAAGGGGATCATAAAAAAGGGAAAAGTACCTATATGTATATAAATATTTATAGTAGCTCTTTTTGTGGTGGCAAAGAATTGAAAACTGAGGGGATGCCCATCAATTGGGGAATGGCTGAACAAGTTGTGGTATATGAATATAATGGAATACTATTATGCTATTAGAAATGATGAGCAGGCATTATTTCAGAAAAACCTGGAAAGACTTACATGAACTGATGCTGAGTGAAGTGAGCAGAACCAGAAGAACATTATACTCAGTACCAGCAACAATGTATGATGACCAACTTTGATAGACTAAGCTCTTCTCAACAATGCAATGATCTAAGACGATTCCAAAAGACTCATGATGGAAAATGCTATCCACATCTAGAGAAAGAACTATGGAATCTGAATGCAGATCGAAGCATACTATTTGCTTTCTCTCTTTTTTTTTGTTTGTTTTGTTTCTTCTTTCCATCATGAGTATAATGTTCTGATAATAGATGGAAGCCAACCATATACTATAAATGATTTGTCAATTTCCTAGCAATTAGGTCAAAATAAAATATCTTGAATATTTAAAATTCTTACTCAAACTGTGCTTAATTCTTTCATAACTCAGAATGTAGTTGGATCTTGTACTCCTTTAGGATCTTTAAATGTATGAAATTTAACCTGAGTAAAGTACAATACATGGGATTTAAATTTTAGCTGCAAAGATTAAACAACAGCTAGATTATGGGTGAAAAAGATCTAGGGGTTCCCATTCTTATTGTTTTCCACTTAATAGTATTTTATTTTTTCCAATAACATGTAAAGATAGTTTTCAGCATTCGTTTTTATACTTAGAACGTTGGATTTGCCATAATACCCTATTTCTTGCAGGGGCAGCTTGGTGGCACAGTGGATAAAGTGCTGGGCCTGGAGTCAGGAAGACATCTTCCGGAGGTTCAAATCTGGCATCAGACACTTCCTGGCTGTGTGACCCTGGAAAATCACTTAACCCTGTTAAGTAATACTTCCTTCATCTGTAAAATGAGCTGAAGAAGGAAAGAGCAAACCACTGCAGTATCTTTGCTAAGAAAACCCCAAATGAAGTCATGAAGAGTTGGATATGACTGAACACACACATCTATTTCTTGCCTATGTTGGATGACAACAATTTATTTTCCCATGAAATAAAAAAATATTCTAAAGAGAACATCAATAAATTTATCAATACCTCATTTCAAATTTTCTTACCTGTTTAATTTCATTTTTGGATTAAAATAGGAATCTGTTTTCTGAGGTGTAGAATAGTTAGGAAGAACTTGTATGTCAGTGTCTGCTTCTTTCAACACTTCACGGGGTGGTTTAGCAGCAGAGGCTAAAAAACAAAGATTTCCAGGGACTCATAGCTCAGGTGCTGAACGTGTAAGCCTCTAACTTATATTTGGGAGGACAACCTCCCCACACTAACATGCTATAAAACACTTTAAACTTTACAAAATGCTTCACTCATTACATCCCAATGAAGGAAGTGGTGCAACTAGAAAATCTCCACTTTACAGACCACAGAACTAAGGCTCAGAGAAACTAAATGTCTTGGTCTTTGGCACGAAGATCAATCAATGACAAGATCAACAAGTAAGTGTCAATCAATAAGCATTTATTAAATCCCTGCTGTGTGCTACGGAAAGACAGCATGTACATATATAAGTACATACACAATATAGAGATAATAATGGGATCACTAATTTCACTGGTACAATGAACTGCCAAATGAGGAAACTATCCATCAAGGCAAATGGGCATATTCTCTCTAGCTTATGCCAGCTTCTTCTTGCAGAACAGGCAAGTTCTTTTTTGGGGCATCAATTTTGGGGACAAGTGCAGGTCAGACATGCTTCATTCCCCTTTTGCTGACTCTTTGGACTTTGCTACTGTCCCCTCCAAGTATAGGTACCTTTCCGATCACCTCCATTTAGCTCCTTTTTATGTATTTTCTCCTTGGGTTAGAATATAAGCTCCTTTAGGGCAGGGATTGTATGTTTTTGCTTATATTTGTATCCCCAGGGCTTAGCACAGTACTTTGCACACAGTCTTAAATGCTTATTGCCTGCCTACCTACTTGAATCACTGTAAGGTTACAAGCAGAAAATACACCAAATTAATATATAGGTTATTTCAATTTAGCCTACAAGAGGGCACCAGCAATTAGGAGGATCAGGAAAGGCTTTATATAGATGGCGATATTTGAAGCATATCTTTTTTTTTCTCTTTTCTCTTTTCTTTTTTAGGCAATTGGTGTTAAGTGACTTGCCCAAGGTCACACACCTAGTTAGTAACAAGTGTTTGGTCTGAGGCCGTATTTGAACTCAGGTCCTCCTGACTTCAGGGCTGGTGCTCTATCCACCGCACCACCTAGCTGCACCGTGAAGCATATCTTAAAGGAAGAGAGGGATTTTATAAGGTGGAAGTGAGGAGGGCATGTATTCTAAATATGAGGGATGGCCACTGCAAAAACAGAGAAATGAGAGAGACCATTTTGGCTAGAGGGTAGTACGTAGGAGTCTGCACACTCTCTTCTTAACTCTATATTTTGGCTTCTGACCTCATGTAACCAAAACTTCCTCTCCAAAGTTACCAATGATCTATCTTTTACTTGCCAAATCCAGTAGCCTTTTATCAATGCTCATTCTCCTCAACCTTCATAGTGTTCATCATTCTCTTGATACTCTCTTCTCTCAGTTTTTGGAATATCACTCTCTCCTTGTTTTCCTCCTACGTATCAGACAGTTCCTCCTCAGTCTCCTATGCTAGAACCTCATTTAGGGGGTGTCCCACAGAGCTCTGTTCTCTTTCTTCAATACTGCTTCACCTGGTGATCTCATCACCTCCCATGGATTTAATTATCTCTATGCTGATGACTCTCAAATTTACTTATCCTGCCCAAAGCTCTCTGCTGACCTTCAGTCTCCCATTTCCAACTACCTTTCAGACCTCTTGAAATGTATATCCAGCAGACATAAACTCAACATGCCCAAAACTGAACTCATCTTTCCCCCTAAACCTTCTTCCCCTCTTAACTTCCCTATTACTGTCAAGGGTACTACTATCCTCCCAGCTCCCCAGGCTTGCAACCTAGGTATCATCCTTAATTCCTCCCTCTCTTACCACCCACATCCAATCTGTTGCCAAGGCCTGTCAATTTCACCTTCACAATATCTCTTGAATACGTCTTCTTCTCTCCTCTGATCCTGCCACCACCCTGGAACCAGGCCTGCATCACCTTACACCTTGAAAACCACATATTTTGCTGGCTGATGATCAGGGCCTGCCTGTCTTCAATCTTTCCCTGTTCCAACCCATCCTCCATTTGGCTGTCAAAGCAATTTTCCTAAAGTACAGGTCTGATCATTTTGCTTTCCTACTCAGTAAACTGCAGTGGCTTCCTATTTCCACCAAGATCAAATATAAAAGCCTGTTTGGTGTTCAAACCCTTTCATAACTGTCCCACCATTACCTTTCCAGTTTTCTTACATGTTTTCCCCCCACCATTTACTCTTTCATGTTTCATGAAAAAGACACTCCATCTCTCTATTCTGGACATTTTCTCTAAACTGTGCCCCATGCCTGGAATGTTCTACCTCCTCAATTCTACCTACTGACTTTCCTGGCTGCCTTTAAGTCCCAACTAAAATCTCATCTTTTATAGGAAGCCTTTCTGAACCCCTCTTAATTCTAGTACCTTCCCTCTGTTAATTATTTCCTATTTATCTTGTGTATGGCTTGTTTTCTATATACATACATATATATTTATTTTTGCATATTGTCTCCTTTGGTAGATTGTAAGTTCTTTGAGGGCAGGGACTATCTTTTGCCTGTTTTTGTATCCCAAGTGCTTAGCACAGTGCTTGGTACATAGTAGGAACTTACTGATAAATATCACTGTAAACACATCCTGTAGGTGACCTGAAATCACCTGCCAAATGTTTCAGAATTTTTTTTACCTCTTTCCCCACCATAGTCTTTATATATGCATCAGAACCAGAATTATTACGAGGTGACTGAATCTTAGCTATTTCTTTTGTGGTTTTCAGTGACAATGATCAACAACTAAGCATAGGTTTATTGTGAATTAGTTTCAATAGCAAGGTAATGTGCTATCACATTTTGCTTTATTGCAAGAGATGTTACTCCCAAGAGATTACTGGTCAGAATAACTATTTGCAATCTTCTTTTCTAGTCCAATTTGCAAGAGGTTCTATGAAGTAGATAAGCCCTCAGGTAAGTATTTTTGCATCTTTTTGCGTATACTAGTTCGCCATGGATTTTAACCTGTACTTCTAAAAAAGTTTTGTTTCGTATGTGAAAACAATTTCCCCTATTGTTTAACAACTTCTTAACAGACAAATGAAGTTATTCAACTTACCTGCAATATACCTGGATTCAGTTTCTCCTTTGTTCACATGGCGTTTAATATGTCCTATCATATCAGTTCTTCGTGTGATGGTTGCTGAACAAATGATACAGTGATAATGGGCCCCCATTTTACTAGATGTCTATGAACAAAACAAAGTTAATTAAAACACATGATACTGAACCTACATCAAAGCAATTTGAGACTGCAAGTGTGTATCAACTAGGAATCTTGGGGACAGAAGTTCTAATATGGGGTGGGGAACATGCAGCCTCAAGGCCACAGGTTCCCCACCCCTGCAGCAGAAGCTCTAACTTCCCCATGATTCTTTCCTGTTTTATTTCAATATGCAATCTTCACTTTACTTTTCCATAGACTTTGAATTGAATTTTGTAGTTTATTTTTTCCTTCCTCTAATAAAAATTGTGCCTTACTTTCTATAAAGACCACTTGTGCACTATGGAAATATTGCTTTTGGGACTTTATTGAATACCTTTTAAAAATGTACAGTAAATTAATATTGTTTGTGACCTCACATAATAAGTGTTCAGAATTGTTACTTCTACATTCAATAGATGTATTTGCTGTATTAGCCCTCTTGTTAGAACACATTATGAAAGGAATACTTACTAGACTACTTTATACAAATAATAATTTATTGACTGAGGACTTGCTATAAATTAATGAATGGAAGCTAACATTTTATTTATTTATTTTTAGAACAGTTAAACTTTATTTTCAGTTCCAAAATCTCACTTTTGAGAAGGCAAGAAATACAATATTCAATGCACATATGATGTCATTCAAAACACATTTCTGTATTAAGTCACACTCCCAAAAAAAATAAAGAAAAAAATATGCTTCACTCTGCACTCAGAGTTCATCATTATTCTGTGGAGGTGGACAGGATTTTTCATCATGAGTTCTTTGGAATTATAGTAGATCATTTTACTGATTAGAGTTACTAAGTGTTTCAAAATTGCTTATCTTTACAATTATTGTTGTTACTATGTAAATTGTTCTGGTTCTACTCACTTCACTTTGTATCAGTTCATATAAGTCTTCCTAGACATTTATGAAACCATCCTATTCCTCATTTCTTACAGCACAATACTAGTTCACCACATTCACTGAATATCCTCTCAGTTCCCAATTATTTCCTACCACAAAACGAACTGCCACGAACATTTTTGTACACATGGGTAATTTTCCTTTGATCTCTTTGGGGTTTACACCTGATAGCAGTGTTGCTGGGTCAAAGATTATTCAGAGTTTTTTTCATTTTTTTTTTTTTTTTTTTTAAGGCAATTGGGGTTAAGTGACTTGCCCAGGGTCACACAGCTAGTAAGTGTCAAGTGTTTGGTCTGAGGCTGGATTTGAACTCAGGTCCTCCTGACTTCAGGGCCAGTGCTCTATCCACTGTGCCACCTAGCTGCCCCTGATTATTCAGTTTTTTAGCTCTTTGGGCATAGTTCTAAATTTTTCTCCAGAGTGAATGGACCAGTTCACAGTTCTAACAGAGAATTACCTATTTTCCTGCATACCCTCCAGCATTTATCATTTTCTTTTTCTGTCATCTTAGCCAGCCTGATGGGTGTGAAGTGTTACCTCAGAATTCTTTTAATGTACAATTCTATTATTAGTATTAATTAGAACATTTTTTAATATGATGATTGATAGCTTTGATTTTTTCCTCGGCAAACTGCCTGTTCATATCTCTTGGCAATTTATCAATAGGGGAATGACTTTTATTCTCATAACTTTGGCCCAGTTCCCTACATATATTTGAGAAATGAGACCTTTACTTGATAAACTTAATGCCAAGATTTCCCCCCTCAGTTTACTGCTTTTTCTTCTAATTTTGGCTACACTGCCTTTGTGCAAAGATTTTTAAATTTTATGTAATCAAAATTACCCATTTTACTTCCTGTGAACTTCTTTATTCCTTGTTTAGTCATGAACTCTTCCCTATCTGTAGGTCTCACACATAATATCATCCTTTATGTCTAAATCATGTAACCACTTTGAGCTTATCTTGGTGTAGGATGGTAAGATGCTGGTTTATGCCTATTTTCGCCAGACTACTTTCCAGTTTTCCCAGCAGTTTTTGTTGAATAGTGAATTCTCACCCCAATGGCTAGGATCACTGGGTTTATCAAACACTGGCTGGTTTGCTTCTGTATATTGTGTACCTACTCTGTTCCACTGATCAACCACTCTATTTCTTATCCAATACCAAACTGTTTGGATGATTACAATTTTGTAGTCTAGTTTGAGATTTGGTACTGCTAGGCTCCCTTCCTCCCCTTTCCCTCCTGTCCCCTCAATTAATTCCCTTGCTATATTCGACCACTTGTTCTTCCAGATGAATTCTGTTATGATTTTTTTCTAGCTTTAAAGTAATTCTGATCGGTATAGTACTTATTAAATAAATTAATTTAGGTAGTATCATTTTTATTATATTGGCTTGGTCTACCCATGAGCTATTAATATTTCTCCAATTATCTAGATCTTTATTTATGTGAGAGTATTTTTAATTGTGTTCATATAGCTCCTGTGTGTCTCTTGGAAGGTAGACTCCCAAGTATTTTATACTGTCTGCAGCTATTTTAAATGGAATTTTCTTTCCATCTCTTCTTGCTAGGTTTTGTTGGTAATATTACATAGAAACAATGATGATTTATGTGAGTTTACTTTATATCCTACAATTCTGATGAAGTTGTTAATTGTTTCAACTAATTTTTTAGTTGACTCCCTAGAGTTCTCTAGGTCGAGATATAAATTGTTTAACATTATGTACACAAAAAGGTTCAACTCCTATAACATTACAAATAAAAATTTCACTAAGATTCAAAAGAGAATTTTAAAAATTAAATCATTTCCTTTTGTATAATTTAATTTAAAAGAGGGAAATGAAACACTCTCTAACTCTAGGAGTTATTTCCTTAACTCATATTCAAAATTTAAAAGTATGAAAAATATATTCTCCCTTAAATTCTTAATAATTAACTACTAGAGGGGCAGCTAGGTGGTACAGTGGATAGAGCTCTGGCCATGGAGTCAGGAGGACCTGAGTTCAAATCTGACCTCTGACATTTGACACTTGTGTGTGACCCTGCACAAGTCACTTAACCCTGATTGCCTCACCAAAAAGTAAAAAGCAAAATGTTACTGATTTTTAATTTGAAGCAGTATGGCTTAGTGGATAGAAGACCTGGGTTCAAGACTTTCCTTTGCCACATACTGGTTATGTGACCCTGGATAAGTTAATTTCTCAGCGCTACAAGGCCAGTGGAGTCAAACTCAAATAGAAATGGTTCTAATAAAAATGCAGGGGGCATATTGACTTAGAAAACAACAAATTAACATTATCTATGTTGTACTATATTTTTATTTTGCTAAAAATCTCACAAATATATTTTAATTTAGTGAGAAAATAACTTCCATTCTAGACAATGCTCTAAGACTTTAAGTTGCATTGAAGATGCTGACCTGCATTGGTAAAAGGGAGTTTCCTCACCTGGGAATTCCTTATACCAATGAAATCACAGGTCTAGTCCTTATCTCTATTCCTAATTTTCAATCTATGGATAGCAGACATTTGTCAGCTAGACAACAAAAATTGTGGAAACCTAAATAGCAATGATAATAGCTTTTGCTTCTTTTCTTTTAAATTATATCCAATATAATGCTAGGATTAAAAGGTCTTAGATATAGAATACGAAAAGTAAACTATGAAATATGAGGCTTGACATTTTTATTTTTAGGAAAGGAAAACAAACTCTAATTACTATAATAAAGCAAGTTTTATTATTCTAAAAAAACCCAAAAAAACCAAAAAACTACTACCTGGTCTCCAATGAGGTTTGGTTTCACTGGTCGACAAGGTAAGTGACAGATGCACATCCTGTAACCTAAAATGGAGAATTATATCTTCAAATAAACATTATATATTTCAATTTTTTCCAAAGAACTGACTTTAGGTAATCCCTCAAACCAATGTACTTCAGAATTCCTCAGTAACTTGGGTGATGGTTTCATGAGTTGACAGGGCAAGGAGAATGAATCTTTATCACTTGCCAGGCCAGTCTTCTAGTAATGAAGATCTTCAAACTTATCTAGACTGTACTTTTTATGACAAGCATACAATTTGTTGGTGGGCAAATGCATGAAGCCCTTCCAGTTTGTTAAGACCTACTAGAACTAATGCTCTGCTGCCATAATGTCTTGGAGAACCCAGGGTTACCTCCATATCAAGGTTAGAACAGGACTTTAGAGAGGGTGTTCAACACATATGTGTGGCTGAAGCCCAAATGTTCAGCTATACAGGAAGAGGTAACAGCAAATTCACTAACTGGAATCATGTTCACATTTGTACCATTAATTAAATTAATTCCTTTTTGCATGTGTGCTGGAGAAAGCAGAATATAGTCAAGACACTTGAGTTTTGATCCTGGCTCTGCCACCAACTAGTTGGGTGACTTCAAGAAAGCTACAACCCTTCCTGAGTTTCAGCTTCCTCATCTCTAACCTGCTTTGCCCACTCTGTTGCAATTGTTCTCAAAAATAAAATTCTTCAATGTCCTTCATAGTTCTGTACCATATGATGCTTTTAACTATCCTTCACTATTTCTTGAAACTCCTTCCTTTTCTGATACAGAACTATAATGGTTATTCTACTTTTCTGATGGCTTTTTTTGAGGTCTACTCCCTCCTCTTCCTCCTGGATCCTAAATGAACACACTTCCCCAACAGTCATTCTTTGTTCAAATCTGTATTCTTTCCCTTAACTATCTCTTCTGTTCCTGTGGTTTACATTATTAATGCTATGCAGATGACTTCTAAAGCTTCTCTTCAGTTCCAACTTCTCTCCTGAGCTCTAGTTCTATATTTCCAAATGTCCATTAGACATCTACACATGAATATCCTTAAAACATCTCAAATTTAATATGTCTAAAACTAAACTCCATCATCTTTCCTATCAACTAGTTCCTCTTCAGGCCTTTCTTATTTCTGTTCTGTTGACAACCAAGCCATTCTTGCAATTACCTATACTCAGTCACTTTCAACTCCTTTTTCAACTTACTCTCTAGAAGCAAGCAGTCATGAATTTCACCAACATCACAAAGTCATTGCTTATGTGAAGCTTGAAATAAAAATAGTTGAGAAGAAAGGCAGCTAGCTTAAGCAAGATTAAAAAGAAAAAACCTAATGCTATTTATAAGAACAAAAAAAAAATTCTCTGTTTATTAGTCCCTACTTGACAAGTAAATGGCTGTTTTCATTCCTACCTAAAGCAGTGCATATTTCTCTGCTGAGGGTTTTTTTTTAAAAAATTCATTTTGATTGGCCAAATCATGCCAAACTAGAATCAGAGCTGGAAGGGAACTTAGAGACTACAATCACAATTGCAGAGTTCGAAATGACTACAGATTCTATGGGAACTGCTTCTACATCACTAAGTAGTCATCTAGCCTCTGAAGACCTTCAGTGATGGGAAACGATTCTTCCTGAGGTAGCACTTTTAATTTTTACAAAGTTCTACTTATTTGGAAGATCACATAGCTAAATCTTTATTTTGAAAACGAGGAAGCAGAGGTCCACGGGTTAAATGACAATCAAGATCACACAGCCAGCGGCAGAGTGGGACTAAAACTCAAGTCTCCTAATTTTTGCCCACAATAGTGTTTTCCTTGTAACCAAAAACTGTATAAACACATCTGCTTTGCCTTTATGGCATTCATTCTAATTCATATGTGCCACAATCCAATTCAATAAAAAAAAGAAAAATTATGTTTTCCTTAAGAACAACCTAGACTTCTTTATTAAAGACTAACAAAAAATTAAGATGTCAGCATATTTAAAATTACACAAATTTATGCACTAAGGTATTTGAGATTAAGCTGCTAGGTCAAAAATGTTAGAAATAGTAATATTTTCCAATAACTTATTAAGGAAAGTTCTAGTTAAAACAGCACACACACACACACACACACACACGCCAAACTCCCCCTCCTCCCCAAATAAAAACAAGCTAGAAACCTGTAAGAAATGGAAACTGCCCAATTTCAAAAGGATAAGGGCTGTGACAGTCACAAACCAACAGCTTGTAAAGCTGTATTTTTCATTTATTACTTAGTTTTATTAAGTGACATAAAAGCTGCAGTAACTTTATCTTGAAAACGCTTAATTAAAAATACGCCTCCCCCCCCCACATGGCACTAAATGCTGTATCACATACATTAAATATCTTTTTTAAAAAAATGAGCAGTTTTGAAGTTACAAACCTTCAAATTCAACAGAAACTTTCCAGTGTAAATTCTGAAGGTGACGATGAAGTTTATGGCTATAACAAGCTTTGAATTTTTCCTCAGGGCATAATGGACAAGGTTTTTTACCAGCTAAAAAGGAAAAGACATAAAAAAAAAATGAACCAATTATTAAAGAACAGAACTGTGCTGTAATTCAGCAGCAGTTATGTAACATTTACAGTTTCTTGTCTAGGACCTCTTATTTTTAGCCGTCTTTACCACCTAGCTCCTCCCCCTATATCTAGCTAATATTTTTGCTGCCATCAGTGAAGGAAAAGAATGGTACTTGTAGTATCCTGCATGTACTTTTCACATTATGACTGCCTGCTGGTAAATTAGTATGAGAATCACTTCCTTAGTTGGGCTTATAAAGAGTAGCAATTCCCTCACATAGGTGGAACTGGCAATAGCTGATATACTTGCTAGACACAGAGAAGATCCTCAGGTAGGAGAAACTATAATTGTAATCAAAAAGTACTTATTAAGCACCTACTATGTGCTAGGTACTGGGGATCTGAAGATTAAAAAAAAAAAGGAAACCATTCCTACTTTCAAGGACATCACATTTTATTAGAGGAGACCACATGTACATATATCACACATATAAGCCATACAGAATAAATTCTGAACAAATACCAGTTAGTCAGAAAAGCAGGATGATTAGGAGGTCCGGGAAAAGCTCCATGCAGAAGGTGATACATGAAGTATAAAGGAATCTATGAAATGGAGGGAGATAAGAAGGCATTGGGGATATCCAGTACAAAGGCAAGGAGATGAGAGATAGAGTGTCATGTATAAAGAAAAAAGAGGGCAGGTGGATGGACTACAGAAACTGAGAAGAGTAACACTTAGAAAGTCTGGAAACATAGGCTGGGGTAAGGTTGTGAAGGGCTTTAAAAGCTAAACAGAGAAACTTCTATTTCACTGTAGGAGCAATAAAAGAAACCCCTAGAATTTATTGAATGGGGAATACCACTGGTCAGCTCTGCACTTAAGAAAAGTATTTTGACAGTGTGGGGAAGATAGTTTGGATTAGGGAGGCTTGATACAAGGGGCCTGATTAGAAGGCCACTGCAACAGTCCAGACAAGAGGCAATGAACTAAGGTTATGGGTATGTAAGTAGAGAGGGATCAGAGGTTGAAAGATTTGGCAGAGGTAGAAATGGCAAGATTTGGCACCTGATTGGAAAATGTGGAGCAAGAGAAATGCTGAGGAACAGTTATACGTTTGACAGAAATGGAAAAGTTTGGAAGGTGGTGGATTTTGGGGGAAAAGATAAGTTCTGCTTTGGACATAATGATTCACGGATATCTAGTTTGAAATGCTGAACAGGCGGTTGGATGTGGAATTGAATTTAGGGGAGAAAATGATGCTAGACATATAGATCTATTAGTCATCTACAAAGAGATAATTAAACCCATGGGAGATGATGAGGTCACCAGTAAAGTATATGGAAAGAAGAAGGTCCAGGATATAGCCTCAGGGAACACCCATGGATGAAGGTGAAGGTGGGATGATATGATGATTAGCCAGGGAAGGAGCCTGGGAAGCTATGGTCAGACAGGTATTTTAAAATAACCAAGACAGAGTGGCATCATAAAATACAGAAGAGAGTAGTCAACAGTATTAAATGCAGGAGAGAGGTCAAGAAGGAAGAGGACTGAGAAAAGACCATAAAGTTTGGTGACTGAGAGATAGTTGGTACCTTTGGACAAAGCAGTTTCAGTTGAGTGATGAAGTCAGAATGGAAAGGGTTGAGGACGGAGAGAGGAAAGATGTAGAATGATAACTAGAGAGTCTAGTTTTAGGAATGGGGCATGTAATGAGATTAATAATAAAATTATTATTGAATATAAACCATAGCAATATGCCTGGATCCATACCGTACCTAGAACAGTAGCAAATGAATGGCTACAGCACTTCATCTGGTACTTTATAGTACTACATAAGTCACATTTTAAACAACGCTTTTGCATCTATTGGGAAAAAATATATAGTAGTATCCAAATATTAATTGTATATCTTTAGTCACTGTGTGTGTGTCTATGGATATGGAATGCAGACCGGTCCTATGATTCCACTGGCATAAGGAACTCTCAGGTGAGGAAATCCCTTCTACCAATGCAGGACATAACCTTCTCTGCAATTTAAAGTCTTAGTTGTCTATAGCAAAGGTGTTAAACTCAGAGCTGGCCCAACCAGATTAAAATGTAATTGGGAAATATTTAATGAAATAAATAAAAACAAAACAAAACACAGATAATGTTAATATGTGGTTTTCTAAGTCAATAATATGCAGCCTGCAGGGATCCTTATGTGTGGTTTAGTGGCTCCTTTCTACTTGAGTTTGACACCACTGACCTAGAGCACTAAAGGATTAAGTGACTGGGAGAGGGTCACACAGGTATATGTGTCAGAGGTCGGATTTGAATGCAGATTTTCTTGGCTTTGTTGTCAGATCTTTATCTTCTACACTATGCCTTCCCCCTCCCCCCTATATAGCTATATAAAATATATGCATATACACATAATAGGTATCTCCATCTACATAGATCTATTTGTTCTCCCTCTTGCAGACAAACATATGTATGCACGCATACACACAGTATGAATACAGATAAAGTATTTATAATGTATATCCTACTTCCAAAAGGATCTAAGTAGGTTTACAATTCATACTATGCACAAGAATAATGAAGGGTAAAAAAGAAGAGTCCATCTAAAAGAAGTAAAAAAAGATGTTACCAGGCACCTGAAGTAAACTGAAGTGTGGGTAATTACAACTTGGGTATTGAATTTGGCTGTAAGTTATTGGTGGCTAAGTAGAAAAGAGAAACATTCAATTACATTGTTTTCATCTTCTGACAGAGGCAATCTTTTTCCAGAACTAATCCCAAGCAAAAATTTACTGTCTTCCTTTATCTAAGGGACAACTATAGCTTTTTTAAAGACACACCAATCTTGCCATATGATTTTCATATTGAACTTCTACAAGAGCAAAGGACATAAAGCTATATCTTAATTTTTTTTTAAGGCAATTGGGGTTAAGTGACTTGCCTGGGGTCACACAGCTAATAAGTGCTAAGTGTTAGGTCTGAGGCTGGATTTGAACTCAGGTCCTCCTGACTTCAGGGCCGGTCCTCTATCCACCGTACCTCCTAGCTGCCCCTACATCTTAATTTAATGTGGGTGTTTTCGTGTGTTTGTCATAGGAAGGTGAGCAAGAAGTTGAAAGAATAATGGTCCAGGGACTTAATTTTCTGATGATCTAACAACACAAGGTTAGAAATTAGAGAATTAGGACGAATGATTAACATGGCCATTAGATTGTCTCTCTTCAATTAGTAGGTATCCCTAAGCAAGCCTTTAACAGATACTGGCTCGAAATCAATCAATCAATTAATTATTTGGTAGTAACCTAATAATATAGGTAAATATTTAAAGAACTTTATTGCTAAATATTTCAATTTTCATTATCTTTTTTTCAAGAAATAACGTAATAAGACAAGTTGTATTACTATTTTTAAAAAATTACTTTAAAAGAAATGCTTGAAAGTCAGTAAAAGGGAGAAGTGTCATGTATGATTTAGTACATGGTGGATGCACAAGTACATCATTCCCTTTTCTACTTCCCAAATTCTTATTATTTGCAATGAGTTGTATGTGTAATTTGGGCATTTAATTTTTGTTTAGAGTGACTGATGCCTGATGTGAGAAAAACTAAGAAAAGTAAAGAGTAACTTTTTTCAAATGAGATAATAATTGTAGAGCACTGAGCATTGTGCCTGCCATATAACAAGCATCATATAAATGTTGGCTATTTTAAATATTGTTATCTGATGGCAGGGAAGACAAATGTTCAATTTAATTCTTTTTTTTTTTTTGCCTACAAATGATGAAGACCACAGGTTTCAAACTCCACAGACTAGATTAAAATTGGGAAAGATTTTATAAAATAAATAAAAATGCAACATATACAATGTTAATTTGTGGTTTTCTAAGTCAATATGTGACTGCAGGGATCATTTCTATGTGTGTCTGACTCCACTGATCTAGATCCTGTTGAAAGTACTGCCTACTTTTCAAGATCAAATTACCTGTCCTCTCCTAGCCCTAGAGTAGTTCCCATCCTCGCCATCCCTGTACTGTGTAACCCTGAGCAAATCACTTCATCTTTCACAGCCTTGGTTTCCCATGTATAAACGTGAAGGTTGATGGCTTCCAAGGTCCTTTCTCATCCTAAATTTAGGATCCTATGTTTCTGTTTTTTTTTTTTTTACATTCTTTGAAACATCTCTCAGATTTACCTCTTCCTTTCTATTCCCAATACTATCACCCTTGTTATAGTTTACTACTATTGTACTGCAGCTGATCTTCTTTCCAGTCTTTTTCTCTTCTAATTCAGTATACACATCACTGCTAATGCTAATTTTCCTAAATATGCTTTTTAGCTCACCAAGCTCTTGCTCAAAATTCTAGAATGGTTCCTTCACTTAAGTTTAAACTCCTAAGCCTGGTATTCAGGGTCCTTCATAACCTGGTGCCAGCAAACCTGACTAACTTTCTTTTCCACTGTTCCCAGTAAGTACCTTCCACTTTAGGAAAGCTGGTTTCCTTTCTATACTCTCACACTTTGTATATTCTTATCTCTGCCCTGCTATTCCAGTTATTTCCTTACCTGAAATGCCCTCCTTCTCCCTTGTCCATTTATCCATTAAGTCTTTTCTACCTACTTTAGCCTACTTTGATTTCTTCTTTTCTTTGAACTATTGAAATTATACTCAGTAAATAGCTTAGCATTTAGTTATTTTAACTGTTTGAGAGATTAATCTTTCCTCCCTAGATTAAAACCTTCTGGTACATAGGAATGGTGTTTTATATTTGAATGTAAAATAGTGCCTAGCCATAATGTTACAGAAGACTGTAACATGGCCATTATCATCCTTAAAACACTAACGTTATAAGGAGCTAGCATTTAACAGTGAAAGAGCCCAGTCCTGAGAATCAGGCAGGAGCGGAATCTTAGTCACTGCTCAACCACTAGCTGAATGACTGGGAACAAGGACTTGAAACTCTCTGGGTCTCAGTTTCTTCAGCTGTAAAATGAAAGTGTTGGGTTATATTATCTTTAAGCTCTTTAAATAATACGTGGTCTAATAATAAAATGAAAATTTCCCATCACTAGAAAAAGTCAGGACAAACAAAAACACCTGCCTCATAGAGAAGTAAACTGACAAATCAAATTAGAATCAATATTTAATTTAAACGAAAAAAAGAAAAAGGAGGTAGGGAATGAATCATAGTTACAGAAAGCAAATGACCACAAATTAGAGTAACAAATTTCATGGGCTTTATTTAAATTCAAGTCAAGTTTACTGTAAAGCAGAAAAATTAAAATTTTTTTTTTCCAAATTAAACTTTTTTTCAAATCAAAACATTGTTTCAAGTGTAACACTCATTTATAATTTAAGCGTGCTATCATCAAAAGTATTTGGAAAGAATTCTATTAACATTTTTGTTTATTCTTCAGGCATAGAATATATAAAAAAAATTTTTTTTTAACACTGAAGGACAAAGAGAAACCTACAAACAGGCTTTTATTTTCAAAAAAGAATTAAAAAAAAAAAAAGAAATGGAACATAAGGATACTAAAAACCACTACTGGACTTGATGATAATTCTTTTCACCCTGTCATCTATGCCACTGTATCATGTGGCAGTCTTTAAAATTACTCCTCACTCCAAAAAGGCCTCAAAAGCAATAAAGCAATCAATATAACCCAGAACCATGAAAGAGAAAAGGGGCAGGGAATACTCGTGCATCACCTTTTTGATGGTTCACAGAATTTTATTTCACTTGCTAATTTATTTCAAAGAAATAATTCTGTTTTGTGTTCAGTTCTTAGAGATCATGGGGCTGCGCTTTACCGTATCTTCTGACTTTTAGGAAATGCTAGCGGAAGCTGTAACATCTAAAAGCTGGAGAACAAGATTTCTTAAATAAAAACTGTAATTTAAGGATAGGCTGTAAATTAGTGAGTTAATTTTTCCACATTCTGAAAAACGAGAGGCTGTTAGTATATGCTATGTCTTCAAAAAGTTAGATAATTTGCTATTTTTGATTATGTGTAATTCGAAACATACATAGTAAGTAAAACATAATGTGGCCTAAACGGTAGAGAGTTGGCCTTGGAGTCAGAAAAGCCCTGAGCATGACCCGGGGCAAATCACTTAACTCTATGAGATGCACAGCAAGAGACAATCTGCATCAGTGGAGGAAATTCTCCTGCAAGTTCCCTGCACAGAAGAAATAACGGCTCTAAACCAAAAACAAGTAAATCTTATTTACAGTTATTTTTACTCTTTTTGACACTAACAACAACAACAAAAAAGCTGAATGGCTCACAATGTATTTAAAAATTTAACTGCTTTTTCTCATCAAGATGCTTAAAAAGTATTTCTGTGTTTTCCATAAATGGCATTCCTAAGGCACACTAATTTCTGTTCTCCTACATAAAGAATATAACTTAAGGACATGTTGTAAATTAGTGAGCTAATTTGTTTCCTTAGAAAGCAGCTAACTAATCTCTCTATATAAAACAAATGGAGAAATATTATTAGTATACACAAGTAAAACCTTATTATAGTGACTACCATGAAGCATGAAGTATTTGGTAAAATCGAGGAATTTCCATGTTCCTACAAATGATTTTGTTATTTGACTGCAAGGAATTTCCCACCACAAATGCTTTGTTGATCCTGGCTTCTGTAACGTGCTACATAAGAAGAGTACCTAGCTTGGTACTGTCTGTCTTTGGAGGGGGAATAAGACAAGTCATGGATGAGTTATTTCAAATTCTTGAGTTCATCAGGGAGCAGGGAGTATTACCCTTTGTCTCCTTTCATTTCTTCCCCCTCAGATATTCTAATAACAGCTACAACTACTGGATCCTCTTGCCCAGCTCCCCAGATCCTTCCCCCTCCCAAATAGGGTACACAGAAAGATCTAGAAGCATGGAAGAAGTAAAGGGTGAGGAAGGTGTGTCTATCATACCTCCCTCTTTTCTCTACTGGGTTCAGAGCATTTCATTTCACTCGCTAATTCACTCCTGAGAGGCTGAGTTTCAATTCTGTTTTGTCTCCAGCTCTTGTAGACCTGGAATATGATTTTTGAGCAAATTCAATTCAACAAATATTTGGGTGTCTATTATGTGCAAGATTCACGTTAAATGCTATGGGTGATAAAAAGATGAATAAGCCACCAAGGAATTTACAGTTTAGTAGGGAATACTAGATATAACTTGCATTAAAGAAGAAATGGAGGTAATCAGCCCAAGACACTGGGCCATAAAAGCAGAGCACTAAAGCGGTTCAAAGGAAGCACAGAACTTTCCTAATGGGGAGGAGGGGGGCCAAAGAAAAAAAATTCATGAGAATACAAGAAAATATGGAAACACTTCTATGAAATAATGCCAAGAGAAGAGCAGAAATAGAAAAAACACACACAAAGCACAACTATATTTAATTAGCTGAAATAAAACATTGGCAACATTTTATAAATACAAGGAGAGAAAGATCAGGATGGGACACAGAATAAACAAACTGTTATATTAAAGCTTACATCATTATTTAAAAAAATATAGATTAGAGCCTATGATTTTATTGGGGATTCAATCCCATACTTTGTTTGTTAAGTGAGTTAAATTTATAATTTTTTTGGTGGGTAAAAAAGCTTCAGGAAGGATACTGCATTTGTTTTTGTTTTTGGTGAGGCAATCAGAGTTAAGTGACTTGCTCAGGGTCACACAATTAGTAAAAGATACTGCATTTGTACTAGATTTTGGAGGATAAGATTTCAACAGCTACATAAGGTAGGGAGAGAAGGATGGGGTATTTCTTATAACAAAACACATGACAATCATTCACAATGAAGTTATAAAATATCTAAATTGAATGGCTGTCACGTGTTTCTTTATAACAAGTATTTTGTCTCTTCCCCACTGTCACTTACATATAAAGTTACTGAAATTTGGATCTGCAGGTCACATGATTTTATAAAATTCATACTTGGAAGATGCTGAGTATGAAAACTCACTCTCAAAAACGACAACTTTGTTGGCTTCAGAGAGTTACTCTCTACTACACTGGTGGTAATTTAGTACAGCGTTATATAAATCCAGAAGAGGCTATTTAAATTGAAATATAGAAACATAATATAGAAACATTTCAATTAAAGACTAAAAAAAAATTCCTAATAGGTTAAGCAAATTGAAAAGAAAAGCATTATATTTTGTCATAGAGTCATAAAAATTTGCTGCTAGAAGGAAATTTCCTTTATCAAAAATCATGTAGGAAATTTGATAGCAGTTAATCTTTAGTAGAAATCACAGTTGAGAGATTATATAAGCAAAGGTATCAATATGTGGGTTTAAAGTCAACTAGAGAAGGTAATGTTACTTTTACATTCAGTTGTCGAATAAAAAAAATGTCCGTAGACCCAAAGAAAGACTACTGAGAACTTTTCCTCAAGAGCAATTTGTTTGCTAGATTTTGAGGGAAAGACATCACACACACACACACACACCCATCCAGAAGTCTACAGATTACTGCAGAATATAGTCACTTACCCAGTTTTGGAATGTATGGAACTGGGGATGATAGCAAGGGACATGTAGCTCTTGGAGAGCAAAAGCAATCTTTTTACACTCTGCTTCTAATGTCTGTTACAAAAATTTCAACAGGAAATACAGCTAACACCTGTTAGGTTCTTTGAGAAGCCGAATATGTATAAAGACAAAACAATATAGAAAGAAATCAAACCTGTTGAAATACTTTGTCACAGCAGGGCTTGTGACTGCAAACATACCTGCATCAAGCTGGTCTGTGTTGGATGAGGACATGGCAGAGGCACATTCACCTTCACTCAGGTAAGCTAACTTCTCTAGATCAATCAGCTGTCTTTGAATTGAGATGTGTTTTTCTGAAAGAAAAGGTCCATTTAAAAGAATGACTTAGAAAGGGGCACTTTAATGACATTTTCAAATTTTTAGCCCCCTCAAACTAGATTACATATCGCTTCAGACACATTTTCTGCGGCATAATTCCTCACCAACCTCCTGGGTGATGGCTGTGTTTTCATCACCAAACAGTAAAATTACAAGTACAATTCACCAAATTTATAAATTAACAAGTATGCCACAAAATACAAAAGGGTGCAAAGCACTACACACATCTTTAATTGCATTTACCTAATTGTTTTACTTACACTAATAAGGAGAATTTGTATTTTGTATTTTCTAAACACATCTAAACACATCAGCTGAAAGGGGAAAGTAAAGTGACAGCGTGCTTAGTAAGGAGAGAACATGGCCTGGTTTTAAAAGCCGGTTACAGAAATCTAATAAGTAGACTCTCTACCTGTGGGGTGATAGCCATTTTTGAGTCAGTAGGATGTGTAGATTGTGATGACCTTGAAGTCAAGAACTCCAGGGGCTCATTCTTTCTCTAAATACTCTTAAATCTAGACCATGGGCCTGATCTTTGGGAGCATCAGTTTCTTCCCCTGTAAGCTAGGAATATTATTAACAGCACTCTCTACTTTACTGAGAATTAGATGTAAAAGGCTCTGCAAACCTTTAAGTGATCTATATAAACGTTAAGATATATTTTTTAAAACGACTCTCCTAATTTCTATCTGTTTGCTATACAAAAAGTTTTTAAAACATTTCCAAGTTTGTCTATACTCTCACCACAATGTCCACGTAAGCCCGCCTTTTCCACTCTTTTAACCACCATAGAGGGAACAATGAAGAACACACGGATTCTAAGACATGGTTAGATGTGCCACCTATACAGCCTTCAGCACCGTCTTTTGTATCAGCACATGCAATTACGTTGTGTGCAAGCATGGCGGTCTTCCCTGGGGTCAAACTTAAAAGATCACGAATGGATCCCCGTGTGTCTGAATGTCTACTAATGACCCTTTACAGGTATGTTAACAGGCATTTTTATTTTGTCCCATCTCAGGGGAACAAGTTCAAGTTGCTTATATAACCCTCTTGCCTAAGCTGGTGTACCCTTCTATTCATTCTAAATTTAAACTCCTTTAAAGTAAACGTGTTCTGAATGCATCTCTCCCTCCTTTATGCCTCTGAATCCCTCAGCAAGTCACCCGGTACCATACGTCCTCTCTTTCCTCGGGTCAGCATCAGGATTTCTAACACTTGTTTGTCCCTATCAGTCCATCTTATCATTTCACGGGTAGGAGACCCATATCTTTTTGAAGATCGAATGGTTTTGATTTTTTTCTTTTCCCCCCTTGTATCAGGTTTTTCTTGATGACCTCTTAACTCTATTTTTGATTCCCTTCCACCTCCTTGGAATTATTTTCTTCCAGTTTCCCCTTCTGGATTTTTCTTTCTAGCCTGTCTAGTAACTTGTTCATTCTTTCCGTTAAGTCTGAGCAAGAAGTACTTCTCGAGACCTTCAACCTTTTCTGTAAGATGGACAATAAGTTTGCATTTAATATACACAGTAATTGCTTCCAGGAGGAAAATAAAGGTAACGAAATCCTTACAAACTACTGAAGCATATCTCCTAGCTTTCATATACACTAGTATGTAAAGGCTATGTCAAGTATGTTAAGGAACAGTCCTGCAATGGATACTGCTGAAAACTCCTTCTGCACACTGCCACAGCAACCTCCCTAGCTAGTTGCTGCTAGTTGCTGCAAGCCCCAGATATCTGACTAGATGCCTGTTATTAAATAGATTTAATCGATCAATTTTTCAGTGTTGGTACTTACTAATTTTCCCAAAAATCAGCATTACTCTATTAATCATTAGAAGGAAATATGAGACCCCAAATAAGCAAACACAAAGAATACTTGTTAGAAGTTCCAAATATTCCAAAATCTTTCATCTTTTTGCTTATTTTCCTGATTCTTCACTACTAGAGCTGCCTTTGGCTTTATCTAGATCTTTTCTGGCTCTGTCATATGTTTTGTAAGGAGAGTGAACAACACGACAATATTATGTTAATTTGTCCTGGTGCAGGCGCAACTACACCATGGCTCCATATAAAAGTAATGTTGTTTTGTTTCCAATGTCCTTCTTGATGATGTCTATATTTTTTAGCTATCATAACCATTGAAGCACAATGGATTAATGATTAATTAATGGATTAATTTTTATAATTGGTTAAAATTAAACCATCAACCCAGAGGTGTAGAGGTCTTATTTTCTTTTTAATTGATCACAAGCAGAGACAGATTCAGAATTAATTCCTTGTGTACAGGTACATTTTTATATATCTTGATCACTTCTCATCTGGTCAGAAGCTTCCATTTATAGACTTCTAGCACTCGAAGGCATTGACTATTAGGAAGTAAGAAACCTTAGAGACCATATAGTCCTATACTGTTAGGATGTGTTTAAGGCCTTATCACCTTTTGGCATCTTCTACTCTGGTTCTCCATCACTCCATGATCTCTATTACGTTACAGAAAGATTACATAGTCCAAGCTTCTCATTTTACAGATGAGGAAACTGATGCCTGGAGAGGCTAAGGTCACACAATTAGTAGACAAACTGAGACCAGAACCCAGATCTCCTGACTCCTAGTCCTGCTAGGTAAGCCATTCTTTAAAATATAGGCAATTATTCTACAAATATAAACTTAGTCTAATAAATTGGTAATAAAAAAGATAATATGGATCTTATATTCTCCTGCAAGACTCATCCAGTGCATATGGAATATGGAGTATTATGTAAATATATGCTACTTTAAATTATGTTAGTCATAGGGTCTCATATTTAGATAACAAAGATAGACAAAGTAATTCAGAATTAAAGGACAAAACAAAATTCTAAGATTACAGGCACTGGGTAGAAAGATATTTAAAAATATTTCAAGATGTTTCAAACCTGCTGATGTATGAACATGGATAACAAAGAATGTGACTTAAATACTTCACAATCACTTCCTACTCTACACCATAATTTCACAATTTGATGAGCAAACCTCTTGATAAATCCGATGAGGCCAGGATCCTGTAAGGTTCTTTCAGGACTTCCTGTTCTGCTTCTGTCTCACCAATCTCCAATTCCATTTCAGGTACAACATCTTTATCATGACTGTTGCTGCTTAATTTCACTGGATTAATTAGTCCATCTAAAGAATGATGAGAAGCAAATTCGTTTATACAGACAGTTAAGTGCTCAATATTAACCAATGCATTTTATTTTATGAAACCAATGCATTTTAAAATTTTCATTTTAAATTTCTTCTCTTAATCATATAATATGAAATCTTTATATAAGATAAACTCAAATACCTATATAATTTACGAATTTAAAGAGGTAAGAGACATCAGAGACTTTCTAGGCCAACTTCTTCCTTTTACAGATGAAGAAACTAAGGGCAGAAAGATTAAGTGATTTGTCCAGGGTCCCACAAATAACTAACATTTATACAGCAATCTAAAGTCTGCAAATGTTTTACATTAATTATCTCATATTGGCCTTATAACCCTGCGATGTTAGTGCTATAGGCATTGCTAATCCCCATTTTCTGGATGAGGAAACTGAGGTTCTTTGAAGTTGTGTGAATTGTCCATGGCCACACAGCTGGTGAGTCTCAGAGGCAACATGTGAATTGAGATCTCTGTACAGCAATGAGCAGCCTCAAGATAGATTTAATATGGCTACAGTTAGAGCAAAGGGAGCAAATGGTGCATCAAGTTGTTGTCTTTCTTGCTTGCCATGTTTTGGGCTTCTGGTAATATTGAAGTACCTCTTGCTGGCACTCTTGCTGCTGCTCTTTTGACTGCTTCTGTTACTGACCGACTACCAGCAACTAAACCTCCTCTAGAACCTCTGCTGGACGCTACTAGGATATTTATTGCCTTGTCAGGGTACGTGGGGTGTTCAGGGAGGCCAATGCCTCCGGTGTGAGGCTTTGCTGAGCCCTTTTTGTGGCTGCTCATCCACTTCTCACCCAACTCTCACCTGTGGCTCCAAGAAGCTATAGCATGTGCATAGTCACAGCCTGGTCAAACTGTCTCAGCAGACGGGCTAAACCAGGTTGAGGGTAACCTACAGTCCTCAAACCTATTGAGTTAGGGGGATGTCTACCCCAGGCATGTGAAGACTTCTTCCAGTGGAATGGGTGGATGAGAAGAATTTTTCTAACGGCCATGAAGGCAGATGAAATAGGCACTGTGGAGCAATTAGAGCTTGGTCAGAAGACACCAAGATCATCCACTGCATCCCAGGCCACTGCCAGTTGTCCGGGCTTTTGTCCTGCCAACGGATTTGGATGACTCTCAAAGACAGAGTGAGGCTGAAGACTGTGCAACTCTGCCTCACTTAAATCCAATGTCACCACAAGTCAAGGCATCACTGCATGATGTCACTGGTCTTCTTCAAAAATGAAGGATGAACAACAACTGCTTCGTCATCTTTGGGTATATGCCACGACGGTCCTCCCATCACTTCATGATCTCTGACTGTTATGTTAAGCTCATCAATTGAGGGCTTCCCTTCGATTCAGGAAGCCCAACGTGACATCTGGCCAACTTCTCCTTCAGATTCAAGATACTTTCTCATAAATAAACTCAAGCCAACTGTTTACCTTACTTAATTACTCATATTCCACTAAGGGTTTTATAATTTTGGAATATTGTAAATATACATTATTTCATCGACTTCTTTAATATTTCAAGAACTGGTGATTTCATCTGTATGAGTATTCTCTCCCCTGCTGTGTATTGCAAGCCCTTGTGACTTGGCACTGTCCTGTGGTGGCTGAAAAAATTCATCACTGAAACCAAACTGGTGATAAATCTTTCCAAACTTAGACAGACATAAAGGGTGTCCCAAAAGTCTTAGTGCAGTTTTAATCTTCAATACTATTAACATTTAATATTGAACTAAATTTATTATTCCCTCTATAAGAGCACTGCCAAGCCTGTACAAGTCTTTCTAGCTTGTGCTCTTTCAAAGCCCAAAGTCATTTCATACCATAATCAGAGGGGCTTTAATCATAGTAATGAATAAATGGGCTTTTGAGAACTAGCTTGAGATTACAATCATCATTTATGGCAATGTCATAAGAAAATGCACCCCAAATTTCAATGAATGAATTCTGGAAAATCTTTTTTATAACTGGTATTTGTCTATACTTATCTAGCACCTTTTCCTTGAGATGCTAAAACAAATTTTTCAATAAACCTGTAGGAAACTACACTGATGCCTTGACAGTGAGTGGTAAATCACCAAGTATTAATTTTTCCATTTCTTTCATGGCTTTGACACTCAGTATCCTTTTTTGGATTTTACTTGTTTTTATTTCTTCCAGCCCCAGTCCTATCTATAAGCATATTTATCACTGGTGTCCTGCTTACTGTGATGTACAGCAAAAATTCAATTACATATTAATGAGTTCAAGGAACTATCAATATTAACTCCACACAACAGGGCTGCAATCAGTTGTAGTAAATGAAGGGCTAGCCAAAGAGTCAGATTAAATCAATCATGTGCCTACCTTTTACATAATATTTCTTAAGATTTATAAAAGTTTTTTTTTCATAATAAGAAAAAACCACATAAGTCTTATTTCCCTTATCTTATCCACATGCACCAAAACCCCAATACATAGAAAATGTGCACTTTTAAAAGCAGGGACACTTCACAACTGCATGGGAAGCCAATCTAAATAGTCAATTACCACTGTTAAGGAAAATTGAAAGATAAATTTGTTATAAACCTATAAAGGCTATACATATAAACATTCTCAACAGCCTAAACCATTAGAGTGTGACCTTCCTGATGGCAGGGGCTGCTTTTTCACCCTTCTTTGTATTCCCAGCACTTGGCTCAGTGGCTGGCACGTAGGCACTGAATAAATGGTTATAGACATAATCCATCCCTGTCACATCCATTCATTATATTCACTACCACCAAGAGAAGGAGAAATAAACTTGACAGAACCTTCTTGACCCAGTTAAGTGCTGTGGGAGCCAGTAGACTGGAGGTGTTTAATATATATACATATAAATCTTTAAAAGATTTAGAGAAAGATGAAAATCGAATAACTTGTCAGGGAAACTACTCATTTGGGGCTTCAAGTCTGATGATCAATTCTTATTTCCCTCCCCAAACCTAATCAGCCAACAAAATAAAATACCCTTTTATGATGCCTCCAAATTTCAGAGGCAGCTAAACAGTGAACAGAGCGCTGGATTTGGAAGTTCAGAACACCAAAGTTCAAATTCTGCCTCAAGTATTCTGTGACTCAGTTTCCCTGTTTATAAAATGTGGATCATAATAGCAGCTACGTCTCAGGGTCGTTGTGAGGATCAGAATAGTAAATTTTTTTTTTAAGCAAAACTTAATTCGTGGTACATGTATGTATACACACACGCGCACAGATAAACACATACATATACGTGTAAGTATGTGCGTATACACACATATAAACTAAGTCTCGGGGGAAACTGATCATCTTACTGTTGCTTTTATCCCTTCAACTGGCCGCATGCCAGGCCGCTCCGCAAGCCCCAGTCCAAGTCTTCTTTGGCACGTGGTGCTGCCTCAGTTTCTCCCGAGCCTGACTGGTTCCGGACCCCATCGACCGTCCCCATCACCCACAGCCCCTCCCCTTACTGCTCTCCGCAGCAGCCCCCGGGGCCGCCTCCTCCGGCTCGGGCTCCGGCTCGGGCTCCGGCTCGAGTTCCAGCTCCAGCTCGTGCTTCGCTTCTGGAGGCGGCAGCGCCGCCTCCTCCGCCATATTCTCCATAGTTACCACTTCCACGCCCGGCCCAGTGTCGGGGCGGGGGGCGCCGAGGGGGACTCTGTGGCGGCGCTGCTCCCAGCTGGTCACGCGATGGAGGGTGGGGGGGAGCGGTAAGAGGTGGGGAGGGGCGGGAGATACTTGCGGGGATGGGGTGGGAGGGGGAGAATAGGGGAGGGTGCCCAAATTCCTCAGGCGGAGACTAAGGGAAACACCGCTATTCCGTGATTCCGGAGGTTCCCCAGTCCCTGAGGCACTAAGCTTCCACGCGCCCCTGCGTGCTGACGTATGGGGAGCTCGGGCCAATGAAGGAAAAGGGCTCTGTCTCCATGGCACGTTCACAGCCACTCCGAGCCTATTCTTCACCCTCTGAACAATGAACGAACTACAACACCCAGGCTGCACTGCGAGGTCAGTGAGTGAGGAGGCCTAGGCGGAGGGAGAGTGGGTGGTGTTCTAAACTCGAAAGGGGAAAGAAAAGCAAACCAAAACAAACCTTGGGCTCGAGCTTACCGGGAAGGCTAGGGAAGAACTACAATTCCCAGGGGGCATTGGAGTAGAGAGACCCTTGTAGGGGCCTGGGCCTTCGGCGCTGCAGCCAGCTGGGGTGAGTAAGGCGTCCCTGGGGAGAGGGGCTGAGGTGTGACGGGGTCGCGGCCCCCAAGGCTGGGTCAGCACTGGTGACGACTTTAAAGCCCCTGTTCGGTCAGGTAGCCTCCCTTTTTTGTTTTTATTGTTTAAGTTTAGTCACTCTCCCCCTCCCTCCCACCCCCCTTCTGGGTGTTTCCTGTGGGTCTATCTCCGTGAGCTTCCTGTGACTTGCATAGTATCCACTCCAGGAAAAAAACAGCCCCCGCCCTCAGGGAGCTTACAGTCTAATGCAACTGACTATATGGTGTATGTACAAGACGCGATGTGTTGGGGCAGAAACTCTGAGGGAAGGTACCCAGAATAAAGAGGACTTGGGGGGGGGTTGGGTTGGCGGAGACTTGAAGGAAGCCTGGGGGTGGGGTGGGGAGGAAGGACCAGGTCTTGGCGGGCGGGACGAGCGGAGAGATGGAATGCCTCGGGGGAGGAACAGCGAGGGAGGCCCGCGGCCCTGGATCAGAGAGGACTGAGAGGGAAGGTGGAAGGTGGAAGGGCGGGTTATGAAGGGTTTTGTATTTAATCCTGGAGGTGGATGGGGACTCTGGGTTTGACTGGGGAGACGGGCTCAGACCTGCGTTTGAGGAAGATTGATTGGACACCTGGGCGGGGCATGGACTGGGGTGGGGACAGATTGAGGCAGGAAGACCCTCCAGCAGGCTGCGGCAGTCAGTGGTCCAGATGCGAGGTGATGAGGGTCTGTACTGGGGTGGTGACCTATGGGATTCCTCAGAAGTCTTTGTAGCCCTCCAAAGGGTGCTTCCCCGCCTCCCCCAATGGCCCCGAAAATGGTAGACCTCTTCTACATCGGATTATAAAATTCAGAGTTGAGAGTTTAGATATCATCCACCCCAGTGCTCTGGGGACCGGAGAGACTAGCCAATGTGAATTCAGTTTCTCAGACTCCAAAGCCAGTGCTTTTGACTTCTATCGCTATTTTACCTTTAATTCATCAACTGTGTAATCTTCAGTCAACAAATATTTATTAAGAGCCTACTTTGTGCCAGGTGCCAGGTATATTTGGTGCTGGGGATACCATTAAAAAGGATAAAACAGCTCCTACTTCCAATACATTTGGATAGGGGATACAAGCACATATAACAAGATATACAGCATAATATGACTATTCTATGTCTATATAATGATATATGTAGGTGTGTGTTTATAGAGATATGTATATCCGTATACTATTCCGTGCATATGTATACAAATATATACTCATATAACTATACACACACAAAGTAGTTAAATACAAGATAGTTTGGGAATGAGGGCTTTAGCAGTTGGGGGATCAGTAAAGACTTCATGTGGAAGATGATGCCTGAGCTGCATCTTATATAATCATAATAATAATAATAATAATAAATGGTAGCTACCATTTATATAGTCTTTTAATGAAGCAGAGGTAAGGTGGGAATGTATTTCAAGTGTAGGGGTCAGTCAATGCAAAGGCATCTGGATTGGAGATGGCCAGTCTGTCTGGAGTGAAGAGAACAGTGAGAAAGTCATTTTGGTGGGATCACAGTGTGGGGAGGGGAAGAAAAAGAAAGAAGAATTTCTAGGGACCTCTGAAATGACTGCTTTGTTTGCCACTCTGAGGAAAGGAGTAAATCTATTGCATTGGTTTTTCTCTTACTGTAAAAGTCACTGAACAGAATTAGATCGGCGCTAGGCAAACAGAAAGAGCAACCCCACCATTCCATTTCCCCTCTCCCTCCACCTCCACCTGCCATGAGAGCCCTCTTCAAAAAGAAGGAAGTTTATTGGATTGATGGGATAGAGTTGATGTAGCTGACCTTATCTTTTGGCTTTCTGATTGGATGGGTCTGTTGTTGCTTGAGTTGCATCTATAAACTTGGAGTCAGGATGGCTTGGATTTAAATGCTGTCTCTGAGGGTTGATCTTAGAGCATCATAAAGCTTGAGCTGGAAGGGACCTTAGCGTTTAATCCAAACCCCTCATGTTCAGAAGTGCAATAGCATGAAGACTTAATGAAGTGACTTACCTAAGAGTTGAACTAATGCCCTTTGACCCTCAGTTCAGAGCTCATTCCAAGGTACTTAAGAGTTGTGTGACTTAACTTCTCAGCTTGTTTCCTCATCCACAAAATGAGAATAACACCTGTTATACTTGCCTTACAGAGTCTCTAGGCTCAAATGAGATCATGTATATAAAATACGTGTAGAGGGTTATTGTATAAGATCTTCCCTATCCACAGCCCAAGCCAAAGGACAAGGAACTTTCCTAAAGTATTGTTGTGGGATTTGTTTCAATTCAGACCCACCTTCGGGAACTAGTCCTTAAAAAACAGATCTTGAGGTAAACATCAGGTTCTTGTCCAGTCTCTGGGTATTGACCTGAGACATTGTTCATGAAGTTGGAGAGTTTCAGCCAAAACTCTCAGGTCCTTAGGATCAGTCACCTGTTCCTTGACTTCCAGCCTTCTTTGTGTAGGATGATAAAAAGGGTCTCTCTTGGGAAAGGGCCTTTAGGGAGCTTTGCCATAGAGACTTGGTGCTTCCTCGGATTGGTGATATATTTCTTCCTCTTTATCTCTCTATCTTTCTGTTAATGGTCTTTGTTTCTACGCTTGTATAATCATATATAATCTCATTTATGTGCATGTGTGTTTATGATTATTATCATTATTAAATCATTTATAAGCTAGGAAAAGTGTGAACGTGTATTTGTGGGTACAGATCCGAACTTGTGAAACAAATTATAAGTGCTTCGCAGCCCGTAACACCTTACTGTTACAGCATGGCAAACTTAAAAAGTGCTATAAAATTGTTAGTTGGTGAGGATGCCGTTTTATCAGATTCATAGAAACAAACTATTTTGTGAAGCATGGTGGTAAAGCATTTTTAATCCAGGGGAGCCAAATAATAGCCAACATTTATACAACATTTTAAGTGCTTTACAAATACCTCATTTGATCCTCACAACAGCCCTGGTAAATGCTATAACTTTTCCCATTTTACAGATGAGGAATCTGAGGCAAACAGGTTAGGTGTCTATATTACAGGTGAAGAGATGTGTCTAGGCTTACACAGCTAGTAAGTGTATGAGGCCATGTTTGAACTCAACTTTTGCTGGCTCCAGCTTCAGGGCTCTGTCAAGAAGTTTTATGTTCCATTTCTGGCTCTGCAGCTAATTCACTGTTTTTTTATTTTTTTATTTTTATTTTTAGGCAGTTGGGGTTAAGTGACTTGCCCAGGGTCACACAGTTAGTAAGTGTCAAGTGTTTGGTCTGAGGCGGAATTTGAACTCAGGTCCATCCTGACTTCAGGGCCAGTGCTCTATCCACTGTACCACCTAGCTGCACCCTAATTCACTGTTTAACTGTGGAGTCACACCATTGACTAACAACATGGGAATGTTCAAAGAGTTAATATCTAGTATTTTGGAAATGTAGTCTGAGGCTGGATAAATATGTAATAATAGCTATCATTGCTTAATATATTTAGATCATAGTATCATAGAATTTAATACTAGAAGAGTCCCTTGAGATCATTGAGTACAAATCCTTATTTTAAAAATTAGGACAAGTCTAGCCCAGAAAGAAGTAGAAGGAGGAAAAAGTAGTGGGGGGGGGCGTACAAAACTGGGATTAGAACTCTGGTCCTCTAATTCCCAGTCTTGTTCTTTCCACTACATTAGCAATCTGTTATAACCTTGGACGAGTCATATTTAAGGGATCAGGTGCTATAGGGAGCTTGGAAGTTTGGCTATTGATTTTAAGACCCTATTATATCATGTGTACAGGGGAGAGAAGTAGGAATTTTGAAAATATCAAGGATTGGATTAAGTTTCACATTTACTGAATTAAGGCTCCTCATTCCCACTGAAGCAGTTTTATATTGAGAGAAATGATTATTTCTTTCATATATTAGAACTTAATTATTGAATTAGGACCAAGGACCCTTTTCTGTTTCCTTATCCAGAAATCAGCCAGTGTGGGAAATATTACTCCTACACTTACCCAGCCGGGATAGTTAAGATCTAGTCAAAGACCTGAAGAAATTCTAAGTTTATTTGAAGGAGTGGATTCCTCTCGTTGTGTTTACTCTGACAGGTCTGGGAAAATGTGGATTCTCCCTTTTGTCAGGCAAGTGATATGGAAATTGATAAATCTCTTTGATGAAGATTTGGGTATAGCTCACCTCATTATAATATTCATTCTTTCTCATTAACCAGTCAGTTGATTTTCACCCTCAGGTGCATCCCTTTTTTTTTTTTTCCAGTCAACATGGCAAGATTTATTTATGAGGCCAATAGAAGCAGGCTAGATTCTGAATGAATCTGCAATTTAATGGGGGTAAGATTGGTACTTACATAGAAGAGAAGCCAGTGAAAAGATCTGGATGGGATTAAGGAGTGGGTAAATAGCCTGGGGTGGTCCAGGTGCAGACAATGAACCGAGTTAAGTGGTCAGAGAGCCACAGTGAAAGGGCAGTCAAAA